ATTTGTTTTTTACTGCAATAAAATAAATTATAAAAAAAGAGTGCCTCTCCTATAAGTGGCATTTCAGTCAGACAAAAAACACCACCGTGACGGGTGTCCGGTTATGGGAACTTTGAACGATTTGGTATACATACATTTCTTAAGCCTTTAAGATTTAATGATAATCACAGCGGAAACTGATCCTCAATCGGCGTAGGTGCGTGTGCGTATGTTATTTGTGTATGTACATATGTTATGTATAGAAAGGAGTTAGAAAGTTTGTTAAGGTTTCTTCTTGTCAAGCACTCCCGACTTGAGCCCTCTAGTTGTAGTCCGGGGAAAATGGTAGACGGGTGAAAATGGTATAATAGATTATTGCAAATATATGTAACACAAGGAAGTATCTCCGATCGCATAAAATAGTATATATATAACATATATTATTGATCAGAACGACGAGTTGAGTTTATTTCAATTATGATCGATTATCATACAAAAGTACATATTTCAATATTTTGCCGCATTTCCAAAATTGTGATACTAATACATTTTCTGTACTTTTGGACAGAACATGAAAATTATAATGATTTAGTGAGTAAGCTGTTAAAGTATACAATATCACTTTTTGGATACGTCCTTCCGTTCTCCCTAGAATTGAAAATTTATTATTTTCTTATATCTTAGCTCGCATCATTAAAAAAGGCATTTCGCATAGCGTGGGGAAAAGGGAGACACAAACTGCTTTAGAGTGTTTACTAAGGCAACTTGCCTCTAGGTTCAGGATATCTTTTAGTCGGGCATTCCAGACTAGTTGTTTGCTTGTCAAGGCTAGCACGACACAGGTTTTATGTAAGGTGAAAACCAAAACAACGGGAGCAAATACTGTCCAAGAAGTAGGAGCACTAACCAGATCTGAAGATATAGTAACTAAGTTAACAGCAGTAGCGACGGCAACAAGCGTATCAACAGAGACAACTTTAGATGAGACAATGCAATAACGGCCATCGCTGCTGGCGTTTACATAAAAAACGGGCTTCCAGCTGCAGTTTCAGTTGCAGTTGCTGCTTTGGGTAGACTCGAAAATAAAAAAAATTGGCACAGTTGTGTGGCCGTTTGTTCGTTGTGTTGCAACTTATCGACATCATCGGCAAACTTACTGGCAAAAATTGCGGATTGGGAGCTACCAGCACCATCATCAGCTCTCTTCGCCTCGCCAATTAAGGGTATCTCATTGAAAGTGATTCTCAAACACATTACACATCACATTACATTGCTTTTAATTGCAAAGGTCTTCACTCAATTAGAGTCGGTTTTGGTTCGCAAACTATTTGGAAATTGTTCCACTTGTCTTAAGTACATACACACTCTCATAAATCGGTTTCTTTTTGCCTTGTCTGTTATGCATTTGGCGACAAATCGGCAAATTTGTCAACAGTCGGGCCAATCAATGCACATGCGCAATGTGCAATCCGAATTGTTGGCATTTTATTTAGATATTTGTTGTTTTATTTTTTTCGGACTGAAATTTGTACATACATATGTACGCAATAAATTTTTTGCAAGTTGCAACCTGCAGTCTCTTTTCATTTCGCCATCGATAAAAAGAAATATTAGGCAATGTGTGTGACAACAAAATAACAACAGCACCAACCAATGTAAATTATGGCCATGTAGGAATGTAAATTAAAAGTCGTCTTATAGACATATTTTGTTGTAGCTGTTGTTGTTGCCACTGCTGCTGCTAGGTGTTTAGCCATTTTCAATAATGGCCAAAGGCCCGATCAAATGTATTTTGGTCATCACTCTGATACTGAGTAAATATACCATTACCCAAATTCACATATCCATACATTGATACACAACCCCTTTACGTCAATCGAGAAAATGTTTACTTCAATGTTTTGTTCCCCAAGTGGCTAACATATGGCACACTCCAACTTATGCCGGATATGGATACGGCTAACGATTTACGGCTTTGGGTTAAGGGGAAAGCTTTGTGGCTTAAGTATTGCTGATGGCTTTTTGTTGAGCCGCAATAACATTTTTTTTTTAACCGTTGGCACAACAATGTTATAGCAAATGTGGCTTAAATATGAAGTAGTTTCCCCGTTTATATCAATTAACTAGATTTTGCATTTTAAAAACCAAGGCAGTAACCTTTAATATTGAACAATCGTTTGGGTGGGCATGACTTAGGAATATTTATTGGCCGTACCCAAAGTACCTTTTATAATTACCAAATTTTAATATGCATCTAACTTATTCAATTCATACAAGTTCAGAAAAAGTTAAAAGTGAAAAAAAGTTAATTTATTAGAAAAATATACGAAAAACTACCATTTTCAATAAAAAATAAAAATTTGCAATTTAAGTACTTTTTATATTTCACCAAGCATATATTCCTTATTCATTTGAAGTTAGTACTTACTATTTTTGTGGTTGCCCAAGGCCTTCAGATTAAAAGTTCTCACTTGTGGTTTTTTTCTAGAGGTTTTATTTTCACGTGTTTTGTTTGTAAATAATCCAATTTGTCAGTCAATAAATGAAGTGCAAGTTGGGTCGCACAAATACACATGGAGCAATCGTGTTAGTACGTATTGAGATGAGACTTGTTATTATATTAAAGTTTTTGTTTCGAATCGATATTACGGCAAGATAATTATAAATTGTAGCTACTCAACAGAAATAATTTTCAGCTGAATAGCAGATATTTTAATCATAAAATAAAGAGTTAGCTTCCTGCTATTTCCTCCAGCAGCTTTAATAAATAAATAAAAACCATGAAAAACAATGCTGTGAACCACCTACATACTCCTACCTGTGCCCATTAGCCTAAAACAACATCAGCATATTGCATATGATGATGATCCACACTTGGCGTTTTTACTACTTTTCGCTGAAATACAAATCTTTCAAGTTTTTTCTCTTTAGGGTGTGTGTAAAACTTACTGTGGCTTCGATGAATAAGAGTCGGCTTATGTGTGTGGAACTAAAACCAGCATGGCCAGCATACACGCACATTCCATAACAAGCTGCTACCATTTGTTGCTGTTTGGTTTGCTTATATAATTATACCTCGTACCTATTGTAAATGGGTATAATATGCCATATTTGTCTGTATTATATATTCATCTTGGAAACTATGAAGTCCAACGGATTAAAAGTGGATATCAAATTCTATTTTGTTAATATATATATATATATATATATATATATATATATATTGAGTTTTAAGCATAGATTGAATATTATAATTATGGTACGCAGGATCTCGATTCGTATACACAAATATGGATTCTCCCACTTTTAGAATACCTCCTTTTTTCCCAAAATATAAGAAATTAATTGCAATTGCAATGTTTGTTGTGGCATCTCGGTGCAGACAGGCACAGGGTACTTTCTAGTCGGGCACAGTCGTATACAGCACTCTTACAGGTTTATATTGTGCGCTGCTGGCCAAAAGTCGACTGTTTGTAAGGTAGACTGTGTAATATATATATGCATGTAACTTAAACCATTCGCGTTGTTGTTTTTATGATGTTACCAAACTTTGGCATTTTGATTAAAAAATGCGGTTAAATAAATATAAAACAAATAAGAATATTGCCTCGGGTGCAACCGACTTTTTAATATTCGTACATAGATCCAAACCGCTGAAAACGGAGTACCTGTTATATTCTTAATACTCCAGCGCGGGCATGCACTAGATATTCCAAATATCAAGTCTCTAACTTTAATAGCGGCAAAAAATTTTGCGTTCATATGGACGCACGGATATTGCACAAAACCAATAGACTTTTCACTTTGTTAACGGGTATAAATATTTAAGAGTCAGAGTCTTTCTAACAGGCTACGATTTCAATATTTTTACTTGCCCTCAATGCCTTAAAATTCTTTTAGAAACGTTAAAAAAATAACATGTTAAAAGTATTTATTGGAGTCTGTGGCGCTACTTCCTCATTTACAACGCCCTAAACGACAATTTCTAATTCCACCCAACCCTCCCACTACATCAAAGAAAAACTGCAAACCAATCACAAACAAGTGAGAGTGATCTCTTCGAGAGTGCCCGACTAGGAATCCTCTAGTACCTTCTCATGCCGAAGACTCATAGCTTACAGCCATATCAAGAATTTTGTTTTTAAGAAAAAAAATTGAACTAAAATAGCACATAGTACACACAGCACAGCATGCAATCTTACTAATTTATTGGGCAAAAGGATATTACACAGTCTATAGGTAAAAAGGTATTAGGCTCGAACAAGCGAGCGTGCACTTAGCTTTAAAATTGTTGTGTCTTAAGGGACCCCCCATCGTGTTATCAAAAAAAAAAAAAAAAGTTAAATGAACTTGATTTGTATTTATTATACGAAAAGCCACATGTCGAATTTGGTAACTCTAGCTCTTAAAACCTTTGATATGCTTAAATAAACATGATTCCGATATTGATTGCTTGGAAGAGGGACAATTTATCGATTATCAAAAACAAACTCATACTGCGCGGGCAGTAGGAGGGCCTATTTTTAAAATTTCTCTAGCTCTTTTAGGTTCTAAGTTCGACGCGTTCATACATACGGAGAGACGGACGGACAACCTAGATACTCGACTATTGATGCGGACCAATAATATATATACTTTATGGGGTCAAGATGCTTCCTTCTGCCTGTTAGCTACATTTGCACAAAACCATTTTACTCTTTTTATCCATTTTCATGGGTTCAGGGTATAAAAACTGATTTTAAGATGATGCTGTTTTTCATTAAATTAATTAATTAATTAGCATATTAAGTTCGTGAGGTTGTGTAACGTGTTTTGATGAATGCAGTATTCACGTCGACCTTCATGCGAATTTGTCGTGGTTGAATTGCTTTGATATTTTTTGTCACTGAAGATTGTCTCACATGTATATCCGCATCTCAGTCCATTGAAGCCGTTGTCAATGTTAAAGTATTTTTACAATAATGTGCACCTTTATCACTTCCGACTTTGACTTATTCGTTTTACTGTTGTTTGCTATACAGTTTCGGCCTGGAGTAGGCTGGCAATCGCTCTTACTCATGTGCGCACTGGCCTATTGCATTAATGGTAAGATTTAAAGATTGGGTCATTTCAATCGATGGAAAACTAAAGCAATTAATTTTAATTTAACATTACAGTTGCGAGCAGTGAGGGTCGAGTGGTTTGTTACTATACGAATTGGAGTGTCTACCGACCAGGCACTGCTAAATTTAATCCTCAAAATATAAATCCATATTTGTGTACACATTTGGTATACGCATTCGGTGGATTCACCAAGGATAATCAAATGAAGCCATTTGACAAGTATCAGGATATAGAACAAGGTAAACCCATGTTACATTACTGAAACAAAATCGAACTCATCTCAAATCAAATTTTCACTTCAACTTCATCAGGTGGTTATGCTAAGTTTACCGGCTTAAAAACGTACAACAAGCAGCTGAAAACGATGATTGCCATTGGCGGCTGGAACGAGGCCTCTTCACGCTTCTCACCTCTGGTGGCTAGTGCCGATCGGCGACAACAGTTCATAAAGAATATATTGAAATTCTTGCGCCAGAATCATTTCGATGGTATTGATTTAGATTGGGAATATCCAGCACATCGTGAAGGCGGAAAGTCGCGTGACCGGGATAACTATGCGCAGTTTGTACAGGAATTAAGATCAGAGTTTGAACGCGAGGCGGAGAAGACTGGACGCTCGAGGCTGCTGCTTACCATGGCTGTGCCAGCCGGCATTGAATATATTGACAAGGGCTACGATGTGCCCAAGCTAAACAAATATCTGGATTGGTTTAACGTCCTAACCTATGATTTTCATTCCTCGCATGAACCATCGGTAAATCATCATGCGCCTCTTTACTCTCTGGAGGATGATTCCGAATATAACTATGATGCAGAGTTAAATATTGTAAGTGCCACGAAATAGTTTTGTTCACCTAAATGCATATAAATAAATATATGTATAATAATCCCAGGCTTCACTTTTTCATTCATTTACTGCTCATGGAAAACTTTAATTTTTAATTAGTTTGAAGCCCATTAAATTAAGTACTAATTTTGGAATCAATATTTACTTTGAGCTTTCCAAAAAGTGTAAAATTTGTCTAAAAAAAGCATGATCATCTTTGCAAACTATCTTAAGACCGCAACCGTCTGAAACTAGGCACACATAGACGTTCACAAAGATCTTTTAAAATAGATTAAATGCCGACCGGATACAACCGTTTTCCTTCTGCCAGGTAGAATTTGCCAATCGTTGAAACAAGTATTATGTTGACCCTTTTCCAGTCCAGAGGTGTATATTTTGCAAAATCTTTAAGACATATCTCAAATGAATTTCCGGACTGATCCTTAGACCTTTGGGCTGTGCGTTGATCACCAATCAGTTAGTCAGCTAGTCCGGATGAAAAGTTTAATATATATACTCTAATATACACATAATAATATATTTTCACCTAACAGGACTATTCTATCAAATATTATCTAAAAGCTGGAGCCGATCGTGACAAGCTGGTATTGGGCATACCTACCTACGGACGTTCCTACACGCTCATTAATGAGGAGAGCACTGAGCTCGGTGCCCCTTCGGAGGGACCTGGCGAACAGGGTGATGCTACCAGAGAAAAGGGATATTTGGCATACTATGAGGTAGATATTCCACAGGAACTCCAAATGTATCTATGCCGATGATTATATTATAAATTATATTACAGATTTGTCAAACACTTAAAGAAGATCCCGAATGGACTGTGGTGCAGCCCAACGAAAATGTCATGGGTCCGTATGCCTATAGGCGCAATCAATGGGTGGGTTACGATGATGAGGCCATTGTGCGTAAGAAAGCAGAGTATGTGGTCGCCCATGGATTGGGTGGTATTATGTTTTGGGCCATAGATAATGATGATTTCCGTGGGACATGCACTGGAAAGCCATATCCTTTGATTGAGGCTGCCAAGGAGGCTATGCTTGAGGCATTTGGGTAAGTATTATATAAAAAAGCTAAATAAACCATTTATGTTTTATAAGAAATCATGCGACAATGCAATATTTTGTGATATTTACTTAGCATTGATTAAAGAAAGTAAGATAGGTATGGTCGAGAGTACCCGACAAGGAGTACCCAACAGCATGTTGACATGTTACCCTTCGACTTCATTCCATACATTACTTTTTATAATTGTTAGTTGGTTGAGTCAAGTATAAACTGGGTCTTTATAGAATTTTGTCCAGTCATATCATATGTAAAAGTTCAATGATTTTCCAAGGCTTCAAATCTTTCACCTCTCTAATATTGATATTCTTACCTGCCAGCTATGGAGTCTTAACCTGCTTATAGTTGGATAATTGTCTAGAACGTGTTCTGGAGTTTCTTCTTCTGCAGAGCCCACACTTTCATTCTCCTCAATTTTGAGCTTGTATAGGTGCTTGTACAATCTTAAATATCCGGTTAGGACTGTGATAAGTCTAGGTGAATATTTGCTCATGTTCAGACCGTTCGCTTCTTGTCATAGCTACCTAAAAGTCCATATCTATGTCTTGTGCACAGGAATAGTTGTCAGTAATACTCGTTTGCTATTTAATTTTCGAACGTCATCCTATTTACGCCGCAGTGAGCTGGGCTTTCTTGCTAATTCGTCAGCAATCTCTTTTTTGGAGTACCACGTAGTCTGGCACCCAATAAATATTTAAACGCCTTTTCATGACATGTAGCTTCGTCTAATGCTGGCAGTAAGAGTGTTCGGTTGGGTAGAAATGACTGCGTAATTCTCGTTCACAATTCAATAAAAGCTAGAAAGTCTACCCGCAAAAATGTATTGTTGATATCGTTTTTCCCATTCGCCTCCAGTGGGCTTCTAAAAAATTAAAAAAACAATGCAATAATTTTGCTACAATCTTAATTTGGCAACTTCACTTGATCTAACACACTTAACATTTCCTTTTCGCACTGTCACAGACTGGGCATTAATGAAGTAGCAAAGTCAAATGGCCCGCAAAAGCCGTTACGCTCTAGAAGTCGGGACAATGGCATCACCAGCACCAGAAATCACCTAACCTCCGAAGTAAACACAAGAAAGCCCAGTGCAACTCGACGACCTGGGAATAGAGGCACCACAAAGACAACGTCCACTACCACTATAAAACTGACCGATGCTAAGGGACCCTCGCTGTACATTGGTGGACGAGCATCGACGACGCCACCACCGCCCACAACGCCCGATCCCGGCTCTGACTTCAAATGCGAGGAGGAGGGCTTTTTCCAGCATCCTCGCGACTGCAAGAAGTACTACTGGTGTTTAGATAGCGGTCCTTCTGGCTTGGGCATTGTGGCTCATCAATTCACCTGCCCTTCTGGGCTTTACTTTAATCCCGCTGCCGATTCTTGCGATTTTGCACGCAATGTGCCATGCAAGACCCAGAAGTAAGTGACTGATGTCTATATAATATATATATATAAAATAAATATTTTTGTATCAAATGTATAATCACAGACTGACAACTGCACGCCCTATAAGCTCGACAAGCAGTACAACGACAACAACACTACGCCCTACCAGTAGCTACAATCGTATCACAGCAGCACCCGTGGCTCGACCGGTCTACCCACGTATCACTAGCACAAATCCCACCACCACAACAACCACTACCGCAGCGTCAGCGGAAGATTCGCTAGAGTACGAAGAGGACGACGATAACGCACAGACGTTAAGCAAGTCCACCGATGCTGAGGAGGATCCACAAGTCATAAAGGAGCTAATTGATCTTATACGTAAGGTCGGTGGCGTGGAGCAGCTGGAGAAACACTTACTGCGAAATAAAGACGGCTCTATAACTCTGAAAGAGAACGTGGCCAGCGGCGCACCGACAACACCTTCCACAATTAGCAAGTCATTGTATGATCGTGTTCTAAATCGTCCTGAAACATTGGGCACATTTACACGTCAACGCCTCAATGTTGTTAAAATAAAGCCTACTGAATCTGCTGAATATACCAGCGCTGCCGTCGCCGGCGATGACAGCTCGCAAACAAACAATTCAAAATACTCATCGGTACTGCGCGGCAACAGCCGTCAGGGACCACAAAACGAGGGCCTGGAAAAGCTTGCCGAATTTGATGGCTTTCTTAAGGACCGTAAGCCGTATGTGACTATTAATCGCAATCGAGGCACCACGCGCGATGAGGAAGAAGATGAAGTTACCTCTAAAGATGATGCCAGTATGAGTGAGGAAGAGGCTGACTCCAAGCAAGATCCGGTGAATACAACGAGGCGTCCGCTTAGCTCTGTCACGCCATCGTACACTAGTTTACGACGCTCCCGACCTACCACAACGTCCACAGCGCCCATTGAATCAGTGACGGAGCCCGAACAGCCCATTGTTATTAAGGAGCAAACACAGACTAAACACTATGCGACATTAAGCCGTACTCGTGGACGTAGCACAGAACGGCCGCAAAGCACAGCTTCTGAGTCAGAAATTATCTCGAACACCTATCGGTAACTAAATGCAGACAAAATTATTGTTGCTTTCCACTTACACACACTTTTTCTCTATCTGCAGCTATAAATACCTTGAACGGACGCAGCCCACAAAGAGCAGCGGTGCAATTGATGTCGCAGTTGATGCTAATGATCATGATTCTGCTGAAGACGAGGAGGAATACGAGGATGAGCCACAACAGAAAAAAGTAACGGTACCAAGAAATCAAAGCACCACTGCAACATCAAATACACGTAAATACGCGAGCATTGGCCGCAGAACCAAAACCACAACAATCACAACAACAACACCACCAGAAACAACAACAATTACAGGCGCTGAGACTGCCAAGGCCAGCACCCTCAACAACAACAATAGAAGCAACACTGTGAAAATTAATAATGTACCAGCAACCACAACTGCATCAATCAGCATCCAATCAGATATAGCCACTATAACAACCACTATCATTAACACAACCACTGAACCAGTTGAAAGCACTAGCACTACTTACATCCATACTACCACCACTACCTCACCAACACCCACACCCACACCCACACCCCCAGTATTATCCACTATCCAAACACCAACCACCAGCATCGACTCCTTGAGCGTGGCTGATGGTATTACCGATTTCTTAGAGTCACAATTTACCACACTGCCACCGGCCAATGAGCCAAGCGATGCAGTCCACCTACCAGCACTTGACTTAAAAATTAACAACTTATCACAAGTTGCGGCCCCAACGACAACCGCAACAGTAACTACGACGGAGTCTGAACAAGCCAAAATAAGAACCACTGGCAATCATGAACACAACAACATTGACAACGACGAAGACGACAACGACAATCAAATAACCAATGTTGATAACGAGGTAACAACAATTAAGACTAAGTATACAACCAGTCAAAGACGCATAAACACGACCAACAACAACTCAAAGAAAAGCAATGCAGCAGCAGTCAACGATGCTAGTCCCTACTTTGGTAACTCTCAAACTTTCAGTAGCACTGATCCTACTGTAAATATCATTAAAAGCACCTACTCTGGTAGAAGGCAACCACAAAGAACACAACTTGAACTGAATACAACCGAACTACCTGTAAGCCCAACTAACATCAACACGCTGGGCGGCATATCTAGTCCAAGACCCTTTGGTTATCCCCGACGTCGCACACGTCCCAATGCCACTAAACCACTTCCTACCATAACAACAAACAGTACTGTTAATAATTACGATAATGATAGCGATAACGTAAACAATACTCGACATGATGATGTTGCGGGAATAGGCAAAACGCGTCTATCCAAAGTGGATAGGCCCAAGGTGAGTGCCAATAATACTCAAACGTTGTTGGACCCTAGCACAAAAACCCAACCAACAACACCCAAATCTAACACAACAAACGCAATACGCACTCAAAATATAGTAGATTTAGACGTAGCTGGTAATGGTGGCAATATAATAAGGCATGATGTAGTTAGCACCTCTACTTTAAGTACTCAAGATGACGATCAACACACTGAAAAAATTAAATATACGCGCCGACCTACGCCAATTTCAGCAGGTACGGTCAAGCCGCCCAATTCATTCAATGCTAAAGATAAAGATTCACGTAGGTATGCTGGCAAGCGCTTAGCGGTTGATTATTCGACTTCATCGGAGCAAGAAAACGATACAGATGAAGATGAAATCGAGGCACTAGTCACGACGCCACAAACTTCGCAGATAACAACAAGTCGCAGCTATCAAGACATCGCTCGTACATACAACCAGGTGGAAGAGAAAATAGGAAACAACACTAAATTATTTAACGACGTTGGGGCAATAAAACAGACAACAGTTGCTGAAGATGAATCTGTCTTTTCTAATCATGGAGACTCAAAAATTAAAGTCACCAATGAGACCGACCCAGCGTCAAACTCAAGTGGCAAACGTAACTACCAAAGCATAAGTCGTACTTCTATTCGCGGCAGTGTCGATAAACAGGTACACTACACTTCAATAATTCGCGATAGCAGTGGAGCCCATTTGAGTGAAGATCGCAGTTCTAGCTTTATGCGCAACCTAGGTGAAGTGAAGCAGTCAGAAGACAATCTGCCCATACAACGAGGAGGTCTGATTACGGAGACAACGATTGAAGATGAGAATATTGCAGCTGAAATAATTGACGATGAGCCCCCTGTAGTGGCTCGTGGTAAGACTATAGCGCCTGCTTTAAATGACAGCTCTGACGATAGCAACACAGCAACTGAGCAAGAATCAAGGGAGGTAGCCACTGAGGGTGCAACTCTGCGAAAAAATTTATTGACAACGTTGCTTGCAAATAATGTCGAAATTTCAAAGGTAACCACCCTCGGAACAGATGTTGAAGCTGGTAGTGAAAATAATAATATTTCCAAATTGGTAAGCACGTCTTCTGAGATGGCCACAACCATTCAAGAATCTACAACGCGATCTGTGCCCGATATTAAAAGCAGCACCACCACAACAACTGAACAACCGAAATATACTACGAACCTTACAACAACCACAGCAATGCCACAGAATACTAATACGTCTGAGATAGAATCCTTATATAAGGATATAGCTAAAGTGGAGACCCAAACGAGCTTCACTGAGAAGCTTAGCACTAAATCAGTTAACCAACACCCACGCCGCTCTTCATTCCAAGTCCAAATGACAAGCAGTACAGAGACGGCTCCGAAAACCATGTCCACAACCACAACAGCATTTACTACGTACACCCGACGTCCACCCGTTCGCAACGAAATTAGAACGGCGAAAGCAACAACAGCCAGTACGACAGACGCAAGTGAAGATCTTGTTATTAATAACACCACGCCGCTTTCAAGGCGGCGTGTCATTGTCAGAGGCAACTATCGACCCCGCAAGGAAGGGGATCTCTCATCTCTGTTAGCAGCTGATGAAAACAAGCGTGTACGAAACAACGACCAGCAGGCGCCACAGCAAGCTTTTAAAAAGCAAGAAGTTACGGAGAAAAATTATAACACGACTGCGGTGCCAAATAGTGAGGATATAAGTGGTATAGCCGATAAGAACTTAATGCGTGCAAAGCTTATCAATCGCACTTCACTTGGAACTGTGCGCAATCGCACCTCCAGCCAAACTGAATCATTGGGCAATGGTTTAACACGCACGCGTACAACTTACGTGCGTACAATTGATAATGGAAAGGTCGTAAAGCGTGTGCACACCAAAACTGTTCAAGAGAAGCCGGCCGAATATGAGTATATTTCTGATGAGGTCAGTGAATCGGTGGCCGGTACAACACCACGCACCGTAACACGAAATCGTGGCTCAGTAAAGTTTCGTAGTAATGATCTGTCCTCATTATTGTCCTTGGACTTTGCTATGAAAGGAAAGCATACTAAACAATCGCAGCCGACCGTGACAAAGACTCGCAGACGTTTGTTGAAAAAGCCTAAAGAAACTATAGAGCACGAAGAAATAAAGGAGTTTGTTTACGATAGCGATTATGATGTAGACAATTCGGACTTAGAAACTACAACCAGGCAAAGTGCGGTGACTACTGTTCGCCCACGCTTGAGACCCACAAGACCCAGCACAACCATAAGTCCGCCAACAATAGCATCAACGACCCCGCAATCTATATTAGTTGATAATAAAGATTTCCAGCGACCAACTTCGAAAACAACCACAGAGCAATCTACACGTACGACTTCGACCAGACGTAAGCTGACCTTCAAGCGACCCATAGCAACAACTATACCGAGCGTTTTAACAACAACAGAAGAGCCAACAACAAGTTCGCAGCAGCTAGCTGCTAAAAAAAACTCTTTCCGTTTAAGGACCAGCAGCTCTACAACAACAACTATAAATAAACCTCCAACAACAGACATCAGTGATAACCTGAATGATCTACAAAGTAATTTAACAAATGGATTGAACAGTATTCAAACGGATAGTAACAAAACTGACATAGTGAGCAGCACGCCTGAGTCTGAACCTGGCAAGGAAACTAGCCATGACGACAAGCTCTCACTGCCAATTTATCATCGTCGAAAATACTATCAATACGTGAAGGATTCGCCCATTACATACATTGACAAGACTCCAGCGCCAGCTGATGTCGAGAACGTCACGGTAAACATACAACAGCAAATTCATGATGTTTTTAATGTAAGTGACAATGGGACGCCGACCAATTCACTAGAGGAGGATGAAAACATTAGCAGTGATGATGACCATCGTTTGGCTATGGAGCAGGCGCGCGAAATCAATTCTGAACTGAGTCATTTTTTATTGAAAACCCCCGGGTCAGTGTAGGCCACCCGGGGGCTAACTTGACTGAAAATGCTGAGGAAACATTCAATGAAAGTAAGCTTGGCAAAAAGCAGCAGATAACCACGGATACTTACCCCATGGACAAAGATAGTGAAGATGATAGTAATGAGCTTTCCGTGGAAACGAACGCCGCCTTGGATATAAATTCATATCGACAAGGCAAAACTTTCAAATCAAAGCTGGCAACGGCAGGTCGAAACGAAACTAAACGCATTATACAGGTGTCCATATTAGCGGATGCGCAGCGAGTCACAAATGATTCCCATGCCTTACGTACTTATAGCCGATTAAATCCCAAGCGTCCGAAGCAGACAACTAGTCCAGATTCGGATGATGAACCAAAGGAAGTAAATGAGTTAGAGGTAACCACGAAGAGTGCCCCTAGTTTCTCTCAGCTTTTTGGGGGCAGAAGAATCAAGACACCAACCATAGCAGGTCAAGATAGCAACACGCGACGAGTTTATGGTAGCTTTAATAAACTGCTGTCGGCAACGACATCGACGACTAGGGCGACACCTCGTCAAAATCTTAGTATCAATCAAAGAGTGTCACAGGAAAACTCAACAAATAGTGCAACCGATATTGATAGTGTAACATATTCAAGTGATGACCATAGTGACGAAAACGAACTTCTGGCTGAGTTGGGTGATGAAAATGAAGTTGTCAGTAATGTAGACATGACTACCGTTACCAGTCCTACGACAACTGGAATCGGTACTGCCGTCATCAGCAAGGAACATACGCTCCCCAACCGCTTTAATACAACAACCAGCGGGATGAGAAATGCAAATTATGAAGAGAGTAAAGAAATCGAGCAATTTGAAGACAATGTTGGCGTTACCAGCAGTCTCAATATTGAGGACCTTACATCAACAACAACAGTCAAAACTGTTGAGAGTCCCACACCACGACGTCAGATTTTGAAGCGTAACCGCTTAAATACAGATGTACACAATATAACAACAAATACAGGTATGTACAACGATGTTAATGCAGAAGAGAGTAGCTCTAACAAAATTAATGCTCCCGATCATGGTGTGTCCACGAGTGCAATCACAGACACAACCTCTGAGCGACCTACATATCAGAGAAAACTCATAATACGCAAACGCTTGAATGCGACGAAATCTGCTTCATCCACAAGGTATGAAGGAAGTAACGAAGCCAAGGACGATGGGGAAAAGTCCAGAAGTGGTACAGAATATACAACTCCAACATCAGAAACAGAAAGCAATGAAAATACACGTTATCCGTTTTTAATTCGCCGTGGCAACACTACAACAATATCAACCGCATCAGTTAATCAAATCAGCGAGGTCATTGAGGATGAAGACATTTCTGATGTAATCAGTAGCTCCGGAGATGGCGAGGTTATCGGTGAAACTATAGAAGTCACCACATCAAGACGTAATCTTCTGATACGCCGCCGTTTCAATGCAACGGAACCCACTCCAAAAACCCAGAGCAGTGCTGAACAGAATTCAAATACAGAAAAGTATATCTCTGTTAATGGTATCAGCTCCACAACTTTAGCCACAACTACTATTAGTGGAAGATCATCACTACGACGCCAGAGTCTGGTACGTCGACGGTATAATTCAACCACAGCCGCGAGTCAAAAAAATACTAACGATATCCAAGAAGATAAAGTTAACTCTGAAGAAATAAGTAGTTTTGGAAATATTAAAATAACAACTTCAGTGGAAAGAAACAACAGAAACCGACCTACACCACCACGTGATCTTTTAAAACAACGCCGTTTTAATAAAACGTCCACAGAAGGCTCAGCAAAAGAAATAACAACGACTGGAACGGATAAAGCGGTCGATGTAAGCACACGTCGTCCATATGCGACACTGAGCCGTACACGCAGTCGCTTTTCAGTCAGCAGAGAACCAACAACAACTGAAAAATTAATAAGCGATACTGATAGTGATACCGACAATGATGCAAGCATTGATGATAATACTGACGATAAAACGCCTGACTCGAATAGCATAACAGTACGTGGGGGATTTCTGCAAACGAACCGTCATCGGGCCTTAATTAGACCTCAGCTAAGCCAGATACCTGCTTCCGAAAAAGGACAACAGGACAGCCAAAACACTGGGCGGAGTCCTCCCAATTTTGGGACACGTCGGACTTCAGCGCCTCGGACAAGATTGAGCTCTAGTACACTTCGCAGTATAGTAGCAGTCAATAAAAATCTATATAATCGTGAGGATGCCACCCAACATGAAAATCAGCAGTTAGAAGAAGAGGAAGACGATAACGACAACAATGTCGAAGACCATGAAGAAGATGACGTTGAGTTCGAAGAGGCCGTTGATCATAATCCCAGCAGCAGAACTTCCAGCTCAATTCTAAGCCAGTTACTTGCCAGTAGACAACGAATTGCTAACACGAATACAGAAACTGCAAAGACTAAAAACCCGACAAAAATACTAACTTTGATCCAAAGCGAACCCAGCGACAATACCGATGACGATGACGAAGACGAAGATGGAGACAACGACGACAACGAAGACGATGATGCAGATATTGACGACATTCAGGATAATGACACTATAGTACACGTATCTGAAAATAATATCACACAGCCTAATATTAGCAACTACACATATCAAAGCACCTCACATAAAGTAGCTAGTCATAATTTTGGAACACCACGTGGTAATAGCACCGTAGCTAACTATTTAAATAATTCTTTTAAGTTTTCTAATGCTAACAAAAACAACAACAGCACCGACAGCAAAAACACTTACACAAACAATAAATTTCAAGTCACAGTCGGTAATGTTAAAAATAACGATAAAACTAAAGATGAAGATAGTCTAGATGCAGATATTGAGGAGACGGATAAGAATAATAATGATAATGAGAGTGGGGCACCAGAGCGTAAATTAAATGACATAGGTAATGACGTTAATTCTAAACGACGTTTTCAGAATCGGTTTCAAGTGAGCCGCACAAGAGGGCCCACAACTACAACGACAGCCAGACCAACAGCATCAACAACATCGGCAAAATCAACCACACGGCGTTTATCTTTCGGCTCACGCAGTCGCGTACAGGTAACTAAAATATCTATTATCGATGACGTATCAACTGAAAAAACAGAAGAGAGCGAAGAAGATGAAGATGCAACTGAGACTACAACCGTTCCCACAACAATCACAACAGCAACGACAACAACCGGCAAACCAAAACTAAAACGCATACGCGTACTTAAATATCGGCGACCACTTCAGCCCATTGATAGTAGCAATAGTACAGCCAGCACCACTAATAGCGCCAGTTCCACTTACTCTGAGAACACCAATCACACAATCACAATAGCAAACAATACCACTAACCCAATCAACAACACGCCTGCGAAAAAATTCCGAAAGATTGTGCGGAAACTTGGGCCAGTTGACACAACCAACGATTCTAATAAGCTAGCCACAAAAGAAGCAAGCAGTGAAGATCAGCAGACAGTTGCTGTTGAAACAACTACAACCACGCGTAAGCCATTTCTACCCAGCCACTCACGATTCGGATCTGCACAACATGTTGAACTAGTGAAGGATGCGGACGAAGATAATAAAGATTCCCCGAAACAGTCGGTTCAGCCGGAGCGGCGACCTATTGACTTACAGAGGCTTCGAAATCGACTCAAAAATCAACAGTCCCGTGGCGAGCCTACTGATGGTGTCATAAGCAATAGACTGCGGGGAAAAGACCAAAAAAACATCGATGAGGAGAATGAAAGTGACGGTAACTCTACATTGCAGCAACTGCGCGATAAAGTAAAGGCAGAGCAAGCACGTGGTAGTGGGGAGCAGGGTGTCATCAATGATAGACTTAAGCAATTGCTAGTCGAAAGAACGCCTTTGAACACCACCACTCCAGTCAACATTGATGATGTGGAGCTTAATGTTTCAAGCTCAACACCTGCGTCATCGCAGCGTCCGGTTTTTAGACGCAAGCTAGTAGCCAAGCGCCCTTATGCCCCACCAGCTGCCACCACACCCACTAAAGCGGCTCTAGTTTTTAGCAGCACACGACCCACAGCTAAGTTTGTGCGTCGCAAAAACGGACGCTATGATCCCTTTAACTCCAACGTACGAAACAAAGGCGAGGGCTTTGTGCGTAGCGATCCTAGGGGTGCACGACTGCCAGGTGCCGATCGGTTCAAGCAGGAGCAGAAGGAGGTTGAAGGCGACGGAGACGATGTGGATTACGAGCAACAGCAAGAGCACCCACAGCCGCTGATAAATACTACCCCGCTGGGCAGTCAGGTAGCGGTGAGAAGACCTTTTATTCCCAAAAACAAACAACATCAGCAAGATCAGGAGAATGATAAAAGCGAAGAAGAATATGATGATGACGACGAAGACGAGGACGAAGATAATGAGGATGATGACGAGGAAGAAGAACAGCAAAGAAAACAACAAGGTCAAGAACCTGTTTCCAGCCAGGAGCAGCAGATAGGGGATAGTACCAGCAAGCCACAATTCCATACGCCGCCCACCTATCGGCCCAAGGACAATCGTGTGCCGCCCGGTAATCGACCAAACTTTGCACCCACCGCCAGTGGCGCTAATGCCAGCAGTGGTAATGTACCTTTCAATCCACGCAATCGCCAGACCAATTTCAGTACTATAGGCAGTTCCTCCTCTGCGCCTGTCAATCGCTTTGGTGGAAGCAATCGCCCACGTGTGGTAAATCGTCCTCCTGGCGTGGCTACTCCCAATTTGACTCTACGCCCTGTGGCTAACAATTATGAGCGCACGACTCCATTAACACCTCTGAAACCAGCTCCGTTCATTCCCAGCAACAATCGCAGTTACGAGCGCAAATACACGGGTCCTTCAACAGAGACACCGGAGATCACTAGCGAGAATCCACTGATTGAAGATCTTAATATTGATGCGCTTAATGCACGCAATAAAAAGATCTTTGACATACACAGCAAGAAGCATACGACCCTTAAGCCGAAGGTAGCCGCTAAGACTGACGCAGAACTAGAAACCGAAGTGGTTGAAAGTGAGGATGCCTACGATCATCTGCTACAGAGGCAGGGCTACTTGACTACCACACCAACCACACCAACAACAAATCCTACATCAACACAGTCAACAGACACCACAAACACTGAAACCGAAACTGCACAGCCACAAATTGTGTTCCATGAATATGCTAATGAAGCCACAAACATCTCTTCACCCCCACAGGACAAAGCACAGGCAACATTGTCTTTGACAACGCTACCACCACCGCCAACAACGACGCTACTGCACGTATTTACCCTGGTTGAAGGTGAAAATGAAGAGGATCTGGAGCCTACAGGGCGACCGCTGGGCAGTAAGACTACCGCTGTGGAGCCCAAGCATAAGCTTATCGAAATCAATCGCATTGTAGAAATTAACTCGAAGCAAGCCAAGGCCGCCCAACGCAAATCCAAGGCCAATCAAGATTTTGGCGCCTTGCGCGTCGAGTCACTTCCTCATGTGGAACAGCTAGGTGAGATCAGTGTAGTGAAGTATGTGCACTTGGTGGATGGGAGTGATATCCAAATCAACGATGGCCACAGTACCGTAGCGGATTACACGCCTACTGAGCCTAGCGTTCCCAAGAGCTCAGCTCCAGTGCGCAATAGTCTGCCACAGACTGAAGGCGACTTCGAGTTGGATCGCAGCGGCAAATCGCTGCTACCGGAGGTCATCCGTGGGGCATTCGAAACATCCACGATTTCGCTTGAAGGGCTGTTTGACTCGGCGCGTAAGGCCAAACAGCTGAGCGTCGATAGCAATAACGCCGTCGATAGGAATGCCGACACCACGCCCCTCATGGACTCAGACCTGGATACAATTAATACAACTGTACCACCAACAGCTGCGTCTGCCCTGCCAGCCACATACGTAAGACCCATTGTACCCCTACTTCGTCCCGAATCCAATGAATCCTCACCCCTAATCATCTCGATAGCCAATCTCGACAAGGTCATACTAAGCAAGGTGCAAGCGTCGGAGGGCGAGTCAGATGCCAATGCCGGAAACGGCATCGAAGACAGCAGCACCCCGTTGCCACCCAGCTCTATCAACGCACCCAGCCTCGCCCCCGACTCGAATTCGGCGTTTTCTGTGCGCCATGCATCAGTGTTGCAGGCGCCCAGTAATCAGCTTTCGGACCTATCTGATAAACATAACAGATATGCACAGACAACGTTCACACTAACAAACGGCGCTATTAGTGGCAGTAGTAACAACAACAACAACAATAGCCAAACACAAACAACAACCACACATACTAACATTAGCAACATTAGCGAGAAAGTCAGCTACAGCACCGAAACGCATGTGGTGCGTCGAAAGCAGGCGCGTCGTGGGCGTGGCCGACGACCACTGCAACGTCATCGCAAAACAAAAACAACAACCACTACAGCGACAACAACCACGGTGGCTCCTTAATTGCTGCACCACCAAACGTAGTTAGTTACTTCTAGTCTTATTTTGTACAGAGACAAACGCATTAAGTTAAACCTCTTGCCGCCCTGTAAATAATCGGCGTAATTTTGTCCTTCAGAATTGGAACCATTTTTAATAATAAAAAAATAGTTTCTCATAAAATTTTACCAAATGGTAGCCTATGACCGTTTCGTGGTAAAAACCTGCTGCTTTTGAACACTTAAACTTTGTATTCTTCAAGCTGCCATTTATAATAACAATAATATACATACACACACCAACATATATTCTAACACACACACACAACATACACACATATACAATCCCACACAATCACATGCAGTATGAAATCCAATGCCTTTCCAATTGGTTCAATGCAATCTCTAACGACCCTAAGCGGAAAACTGTAAAATAAACTCTATTTTATTTAAGTCCCTTCATTTTTAAATCAATTTCGCTTAAAAATTTTTAAATATCTTTTTTTATTTTGAATTACTTTGAGTTTATTGCATTTAGTTTTAGTCGTTAAATATTTATGCACAATAAACCTTAATAAACCCAAAAACAAACATACTTATTTTGTATATAAAAACCCCAGAAAATAACATATACGCATATCATAGCTATATGCAAATACAATAGACCATATGCGTACATATATTGATGTTCAGCGTCAGTATCCAAAAATTATTTGTACATACAGAAGACTCACAACAATATAGATACATAAACAAATCATACTTATTACACAGCACATTTTTATATTTTTAGAAAGCTTTTAGTTACATTTTTATTGATATTCCTTCAAAGAATCACAAGATTTTATTTTTAGGACTATTTATTAATATATTAAAAATAGACTGAAACATGAATATTATAAATTAGGAACAAAGAGTCGACATACAAAAAAAATAATATCAGAACGAATCCGCGAGTTCATTAATACAAAATTAATGACTCTTGAGTTTAATAAAAACATATATACTCACATGAAGGCTGCAAACTGAATAACTAATCAAACCAATTGTCTCAAAAATAATCAGTTTGAGGCCGTAACGAACCATTTATTTCAATACCCTCAGCTAATTGTAATTGATAAAAAATGGTTTTAATAGTTATGCACAAATGTATGTAACAGGCAGAACGAAGCACCTCCGATCCAATAAAGTATATAAATTCTTGGTCAGTTTCAATAGCCGAGTTGAATTAGCTATGTCCGGTTGTGTATCAGTCCGTCCGTCACTTGTACGAACGCGTCGGACCCAGAACAGGCACGCGCAGTAAGAGTTTCATTCAATTCATCAATACTTTCCCCCGTGTTCCATAAAATCGACCAAAAGCCCAATCCTGGCTTATGAAAAGAAATCGGAGTTGATAAAAGAGGCACCAACTTTGGTATAAAGGTATATATTTGGTATATTTTACACAGATCTAGAATATTTCACTGAATACCTCCTCCCGTTCCTCACAGAACTTTTGTAGATATAGTATTGAAAATTGGTATTTACACTCATAAAGATGCCATATTTCGAACTCGCTTAAACTCACACGAGAAAAGTTTACAAACCAAGGGCCCAGCCCATAAATGATTCGATTCTTTTCAAAAACTAATCTGCTTTTATTGCTTACATTTTCGAAAACTCATCTTGTGTACTCCTACTGGTTTCCATATATATAAACAGTGGACATTTCAGCTCCCTAGCTCTTACGGTTTGGGCTGTGCGTTGATCACCAATCAGTCTGTCAATTAGTCAGTCAGTCAGGACAAACAGTTTTATATATAGAGATATATATATGTATATATACATATATATGTATGCCCTGTGTCGAACGAACTTTAAGCCACTTTCAATCGAGCGAACTACTTGCTATCGTCTCATACCTTACAGTCATGGCATGAATTCTACTATTCCGGAAGAGCGGAACTTAAGGCAGCACTACACATAGCACAGCATACATTACAATCCCAATTGCATACAAAGGTATGTGTGCATTCGTGAGCTGCCTCTTGGCTTAATAATGTTTTCTTTAATAATTTCTGTGTTTTGTTACCATTCTTGATAAAATGCTCCTTAGTAGGAATTATCTTTATATAGGATATTCGTATTTTCGTAAAAAGCCCTAAAATTGTAGTGTGGATGTAGTGCGGGATAAGGGGTTGTATCCAAAAAATGAAATATACTAAGTCTGTGTATGCAATACGAGAGGCTACGTGCCAAATTCGGTGACTCTTAAAACCTTAGAAATGTGCAAAAATATATATTGATATTGATAATCGATTCTTATACTTGAACACGGGGCAAGCTATCAATTATCGGAAACAAAATCGCGCGGTCACTAGGAGAATCTACGTTCAGAATTTCAGGTCTCTAGCCCTTATGGGTTCTGAGATTAACTTTTTCATACGTACGGGCAGACGGACATGGCTAGATCAACCTTACTATTCTTGCTGACCAAGCATATATGTGCTCTATGGGGTCGGCGTTGCTTCCTTCTGCAGTCCACATTCATTTGCACAAAACTATTATACCCTTTTTACACAACAAGTTCAGGGTATAATAAAAGTCCAAGGCAAACAGGCCAATAAAGCTTGTATACAAACATTTAAAAAATGCGCTCCCTGACAGATTTTTATTTGGAAATCCATAGTTGATTTCATTGGTTAGAGCCCAAAGAGCTAATGAAGATCTTATTACGGAGTCAAAAAAGATGTATTATAATAATCTATTATTATAATAAAAAATGAATATTGTTTATGTGGCTGTTTTTTCAGTGGCTTTTGGCTTTCGTTTTATTTATTTTTGCAAACATTTTAATTTACCTACACAAACATGACGAGGCTGGATTCTCTAACCTAAGGAACTTTTCAAGTGCAGTTCGGTTTGCGAGAACGCAACTTATATCTTGGTATATAACTAAACAATTATTCTACCTAGTTTGCTTAAAACATAAAATATGTATTCGGCCTTCCTGTTGCCATACCCACTAAGTAATTTGGATTCTTGTAGTCACTTGTATTTATTCAAATTTCCATCAGCATGTATGAATCCCCATATTAATAGCCACTTTAAGGCGGCTTGGAATTTTTGTATCTTTCACCTAACACATGCATCGAAGTTGGCACTGCTTTGGGTGTTCAGCCAAACAACTTTTTGTATTGGGAGCAACTTTCTCGTCTTACAATGACGACGCCCTGACAAGCATTCACCGTATACACTTCTGGCTGTGTCTTGATCTAGCTCCGATCGTCTGCACGGTATTTAAGTAAATATAACCAGTTTGGTAGCAAACATTTCAGCAACTGCCAACAAAAGCACCAGCTAACAGGCTATCATAAAAAGCAAAGAGCACATCTTTTAACGGCAACAGAGCTAAGAGTCTTATGTAATCACAATGGCATGCAGTCGCCGTTGCCAAATGAGCCGGTCCGGCCAGCTGATACGGGCTCATCTTCATCTCGGCATATCGAGTTTCATTCGTTGCGCAAGCGGCTCTAGGGCGTGCCACCGCATACGCATACAGGCGACATTGACATTAAAAAAGCTCCATATACTGGCAAGTCTTACATCACAGCTTTTATTCCATAAGTTTTTGTATAACTTTTTTTATGCATAGGTATAGTTTCATGGCTACATGTATGCATAATGTATGCACAGTGGTCGCTGAACAATACCCAACAGCCAGCTAACCAAACTGGTATCAAATTGATGGCATACTGATTCATCTTGTGCACAGTGATCTTATATATACATATATAATATAGTCTCTGGCATTCTAACGTCCTTCAATTAAAATGCCTGACTGCATTTTTACGTCTGTCTAGATTATTGAGTTCATGAGTAAATGTACATTTGTTCATTATGACACTTAACCATCACTCATGAGTTGCTAGTTCTTGACCGTTCACTGAAGTTTCTAAAACAAAAAATGGGTAGGCTAAATGCAGAAGGATTTAGAGTAGAAATATATAAGTAATTTGTTGTAAGTTATAAGTAAATTTTTGGCATCTCCTAATACAAATATTTAAAAATATTCCAATTCCCCGTCTTAGTAAGAAAGAACACACACGCAAGACCTAACACTTTATTGCACATTATAAACAGAAATATTAGTATATACATATAATAATACTTCATTGCTAGTATTAATACCAATGCTAATTATTTATTAATAATGTAAAATACTTATGTGCAAATGCATGTACACATATTTCTTTAACTGTTGAGCATGTAGCTTGCTTTTAGATTGCTGTTGACTGTGACTGCACATCGCGGATATCATGATATTGAGATCACAGAAGCAAATAAAATAACGCACAACACACACGACAAGCACAGACACGCAAGTTAAAAAAGAGAACTGATCTATCAATAATAAAAAAAAATTTTATTTAATTATAAAATGTTAAATGCCAATTGCTTGCTTCATTTCATGTGCCCACCAAACCAAACTTTACAAACCGCCGTCTCCGACAACAACTTGGATGATCGTCTTTCAACTGGTAGCTGCGAACACAAACTGTGCCTTCGACATCAACTGCCACTGCTGCTGCTGCCGCTGTCACCAGTGTCTCGCGACGTCCCGTGCTAAGCGTGCGCCGGCGAATAATCAACACGCCGACGGCAGCGTCTGAATCAACCACGCAAACTGTAGAACTGACGACGACCTCTAAATATAATCGTCTGCGTAGTAAGCCAGTCACTACGACAGCAGCAGCAACCACTAAAAGCAGCAACAGCAACCTAAGCAAACTAAAAAGTTCGTCAGCCACATTGCCGCTTGCAGCTAGCAGCAACAGTAACAGCAGCAGCATTGACAACGCGCAAAAACAACATAAATTCCAGGCAGCCAGCTATGCATTGCGTCGTCAGTTTCAGACGCGTCGATTGACGACAACGGCATCCTCGACAAGTGGCGATGAAAACGGTAAGAAATGGCAGAGAAAATGACCTAAACTTAATTTGGGAAAACTGCAAGACCATATCGTTAGCTGCTGTTAATGTATAACGAAGGTTTATGGGGTTTCACGACGGGTGTTCTTTCAAAGATGACAAATATTTTCGGTTACAATTAAATAGACGATTAGTAAAACTTATGATTTTGAAATAAGATGTTTTTATAATGAAGCACATTGACAATTTAGAGCAATTAAAAAAATTGCACTCTAATGCAATCGACTAAACAATACTCTGTTAACAGTTTATTAACGATTCAAGTTTGTTGTAGAGACTATTCTTTAATATTCGTATGTTGACTCAGGAGTCCACAGCAATCACTTTGATGCTGTGACTTAAGATTTTGTTTTTTTTTTCAGATTTGTAGATGTTTGGTGACTCTTACCTTGAAATTGTGAAAGATATAAAATGATATGAAAAAGGTTTAATGTGTTTATTCGAACATATAAAAAAGGGCAGAGAAAAGATTCCCCGACTATATTTCTATATATAAAATTGTTTGTCCTTGTCGAATGACTGACTTATGGGTGATCAACGCACGACCCAAACCGTATGAACCAGGTAGTTAAGCTTGTACTTTTACACGAATAGACGGGGTTCTCAGGAAATTCCACTCGAAAATGTGAAACGAAATGGTTGTTCAAAACTTTTATGTTTATTATCCGATCGGCAACGAACTCATTTTCAAAGATCTTTGTTTTAATTTATTTGGGAAGTGCTTCGCACTTTTCGGAAAATCCATGCCTTCTTGGTGTAAATTGGGGCAACAGATTTGGTGGGTAAAGATTCGGGTTCAACCGCATTTTCAATGATCTTTATTAAGAATTCTTCATGGCGTGCTTCACATTTTTCGCAGCAATTAACTTTCCTCTTTGGAAAATGCGATTTAAAGATGGTTGGAGAAGCTTTAAGTTTCATCCAATCGGTTTTATAATGTGTTTCAGTGTTTTCGGAAATTCCAACCGCAACTATATAAATTTAAGGTTCTTACCACAAGGCTAACATGTGCGGATTTTAAGACTCCGAGTTAAACTTAAAAAAACTTGCCTCGGGTAAAGCCGGGGAATACTATGTACATCAGCATCAACAGCCGAGTCGATCTACTCATATCCGTCTGTTCATATGTAGGAATACGGCGTTCTCAGAGATTTTAAGATCTAGATACGTGATCAAGAAAATATCAAATTTATATCAACTCACGATTGAATATGTGAGCTAGAGATGTCAAACTTGGAATCCAGGATATTTAAAAGTATACACCGATTCAAAATAATTGCCTTTTTGGATGCCTCCTCTACAAAATTGAATATACAAACAACAAGTAAGAATGATATAAGCGATTCGCCAAATTGATGGGGTCTCGTACACCGATTAGGAATATTTCACTTTTTGGGACACCCCTCAAAACAAAAATCAACTCATTTTTGGAGCTTTAAACTTTTTTAATTGGGCACATACAGAAATTTGAATGCCATATTTACTACCTTAACATTTCATAAAGATCGGATAACAAAAATATAAGTTATTCATTATTATATATACAATAATGTTCCGCAGGTAAGTTACACAGTTGGCCGCACATGTGGTTATATGTTGTGCATAAATGTACATATGTATCTTTAAGACAATTTGAAATTTTATTAGGTTCTATCTTATGATTTAAAGAAAACAAAAAGTGTTATATTGAATGTGGGAAACATGGGATAAAATCGCAATACTACAAATATTGTATTGGGCTATGGTGTTACCTCACTTAGACTTGTTAAGGTAGTACTTAGATGCCATATTTATGACCAGAAAATTTAATAAACACCGAAGCTATATCGCATAGAGCGGTGAAAAGGAAAGAAACTGCGTAGCAAACGGCGTGCGTGTGCACGTGTCCCGAATACAGCATTCTTCTCTCTTCTCGTCTTAAGGAAAGAAGCCCAACAATTTGAATTTAATGTAAACGCAACCTTCGAATATTTTGTTCGATGCCCAATGTTATAGCTTAGTAAAAAACTACACTTTCGTTATGTTTATTGTTTAGCCACGGATGCGCCGCGCACACAAAACCCGCTTTTTAAGCGCCGCCTAACGCTAACCTCTACTGCAACCCCACCACGAATTTCGACCACAGCGTTATCGATAGATACGACTACTTATTTGCCTGGCATGGAGGATGATGATGATCAGGTGGCTAGGTCCAGCATACACACAAGTCGCTTCAATCAAATCTCGGAACATTTACGTCCAGGCTTAAGCTTTGAGCTACCCAACAGCAACAGTAGCGTTGACGGAACCAATACCACACGTGAGTCGCTTTTGCTAATATACTTTTAGTTTTAGAAACTCATTCTTTCTTTGAATTACTATGCAGGTCGTCAGATGATACCACGCCCACGTCGGCCACAGTCCACCACACCCATACCTGGTACATCTGCAGCAGCAGTAACGTCGGCATCATCGCCGCCAGCATCCCGCCGTCAGCAGAGCCGTCGACGGCCGCACAAGTACATTGAGGTATACAACCGGCCGCCTACCAAACCGGAACTGGCCACGGCCACATCTGCTTCCAACCGTCGATCAGGTGCTGTTGACTACGAGATCTATGATCAAAGCCGCGCGAGCGTTACAAAGCAGTCGCGACGCCGCAATGAACAAGCCCGTCTTCATGTTCAGAGCCAGTCCCAGTCCAAGTCACAAACGCTACCGAAGGTAATTGTACATGGGCAAGGCATCATCGAGTGCCTGGACCAAGGCAATTTTCCTCATCCGCTCAGCTGTCGTAAATTCATTTCCTGTGCCAAATTCGATGAGACCGGCGGCATTGTAGGTTGGGAGTACACTTGCCCCAAGGGTCTCGGATACGATGGCGACAGCGGTATGTGCACCTGGGCGGCAACCAGCGAGAGAGCCTGTTATAATTGAAGCGCCTGGGAGGGGTCAATGACTGAATACACGCCTTTGCGGCCCAACGGCACTTCCAAAAAGAGTTAACTGATTTTTTCTTGCACATGTTTGCACATAATTTTTTATTGTGAATAGTTTTATATATGTGTGTAACAAGTAATTATATAGATATTTTAATGTTATTTAGGCGTTAAACATGTATTATGTTTTATTATACCTTTAGAAAAGGTCTTGAATCTGTCAGTCTGTTCGTCTGTATATTTCTAGGCACAATAGACTATTATACATATGTATATCAGCTGGGCGGATCAAAAAACCTGCCATTGGAACAAATTTGTACATGCAAAGTTTGCTTCTTTTTCAAACGCCACCCAGCGAATATAAGTGTCATTAAGCTCTTAATGAATGAGCCACATATCGTCACTTTATATCCCCTTGTTTATGATACTTTTATTTTGCCTGTTTGCTTTTTTGTCCGTTCGTCATGAATCTTTGCAGAGGTCCGTCTTTCTGTTGCAGGCAGTAAATATGTCGGACCACTATGTGATATAGCTGCCATGGTATTGATCGGTCCAAAGGTAGGTTCTGTGAAAAACATTTTGTTTATCAAGATATCTTCATAAAGCAAGGCATTTATTAATTTCTCTATGTTCCTTACATATAAGCTTAATTTTATCAAAATCGGACTACTATATCATATAGCTATTATGGAAACGATCGGGCGAAAGTTAAGTTCTCGGTTGACCAAACTCGGCATTTATTAGTTTCACTATGCTTTTTACAAATAAGCTACATATAGCTTCTATACGAAAGCTCAGACGGAAATTAAGTTCAAGGCTGAAAAATATTCTAGTTTATAAAGATATCTTGAGCAAACTGGGCATTGATAAGTTTCACTATGCTGCTTACATATGAGCAAAACCTAATCAACATCAGACCAACAATCAATTCTACAAGGGTAATTAATCTTCGGCGTGCCGAAGAAGTCCGCTCTTTCTTGTTTTTAATAAATGAACTAATTCGTATCAAAATCAAATTACTTATATCTCCCATATCTTCTATAGTAATAATTGGTCGGCACACGATCCTTTATATGGAAATACCTTGTAAATAAGTAAAGAAATATTCTGCAAGCCTGCTACATATATAGGGTTATTCCGGCACCACGAATAACCACTTTTATTTGTTCTTTTTTTCAATTGTTATAAACGAAGGGCTTGGTAACACAGAAATTACGATGAATGTAATATTTAATTAAACGTTTTACGAAGAGGCATTTGCTCAATAAAGATATATATATATAATGAAGTCTATATTTCTTCAGTATATGAATATGAATCTATAATTAGCCAGTTGCACCCGACTGCAATTTTTTCTTGAGCCATATTTGTGACAGTATGTAAAATTAAGTGCGTTAAGAGAGAGTTTTGATTATCCACTAAAAAGGCTGAAAACACGTAGAAATATTGGAAGTAAGTAGAAAATAGACAAGGAAAATTGAGGTTTTTTAAATATGCAAAATTATATTTGAAAACTATGCGTAATATAGGCAATCAATATGAAAGGAAATGCGTCTTGTTGTTTTCTAGTTTTTGATGTTAGCTTCGAGGGCTCGAAAGCAGATTCCGCTTAAGCGAAGTTCTTTTGCTGCTGCTGCCTCCAGGCTTCATGGACAGCGTGATATCCACTCTGTGTCTGGGCAGGGGTGTTGCGGCCGAAGGGGCTCTTCGAGTTCACCTGCAGCATGTAGTCGCCGCGGATGTCGTAGCTGGTGGCGATGCCCATGTAAGCGCGCTTGCCATAACCGTTGTTTTGTTTGTACTCCTTGTAAGAACTGGCGGCGACGGCTGGGAAGTTGCGCTCGTTGCCTGGGCGAACAGACTCGGCAAAGTATCGGGTGGCGCGTAGGGATGCCTCCACCACGTTGTCAGCGCCAGGAACTCCAGTTGCTGGTCCGTTGGGGTAGAAGTCAACATCGGCAAGGCGCTCCTGGGTACCCATGCCATAAGCGGAGGTGTGTATGGCATCAACAAAGTCGGCATCACCGCGAGCCAGACCGCTCAGCTTGTTCTCCGGCCTTGCGTACAGTTTGGTGGGGTCCAGGCCAGTGATGCGGCGCAGCTTGTGTCCAGTCTGGCGTGTGTACTGGCGACCAGCAACTCCGGCAACGTGTGCAGCGGGTCCCTGACCAATCAGATGTATGATCTCCTGGGGCACATTCACTTCGTTGGTAAGCTGCACAAGAAGATCGCCAATAATCTCGCCGATGCGCTCAACATTCAGGGTAGCGTACTGCTCAAAATCTTCGATGAGATCGCCCAATGTGATAACCACTAGATCGCCGTTTTTGTTGTCGTCCTGCTCTTGGTTTTGCTTGCGGCGCTGTTGTCCCTGCTCCTCGCTACTGGTCTTTTGCTCAGAACTCTCTTGCTGGCCGGGATAGGGCTGCAGGTTGTAACGCTGCTCAAAAGCCTGGACCAGCTTGCGGTTGGCCTTGTTCACGTGGTTCCAGCTCTGGGGCAGGCCCTCGATGAAAATGGTCACCTCATCGTTACCAAAGTTCGACTGACGCTTCACTGTCTGCACAAAGTTGTTTAGGTTAAACTCGATCTTCTGTCTGCGCTCGCCAACAATGTAGCCCTTGATTTTGCTGGGCTCTGGAACGTAATCAGGCTTGAAGATGCGATTAAATTGCGCCAAGTGGTCTGAAAAGTGTCATGAAAATCACTCGATCCTTACATTGTAGTCTGTTACTTACACAATTTGTCCAGCAAAGTGGCGCCCTCATCAACGGTCATGCTTTCGAGACGACGCAGAGTGACATCCTTGAGGATTGGCAGCTGCTCAATCTCGCTTGGACTGACCCAGTTGCTGGGATCCTCGTAGTTTTTCAGCGAGTTGGAGTGCTTATGGTTGTTCGTAGCCAAAGCCACGGCCATAAGACAGGCCATAACACACAAAGAGCGCAGAGGATTCATTTTTACCAAAGCTTTGTAGTTCTATTGTCGAGACGCCGTACCAAGCTGTACTGCATATAGTGAGCTGTCCAGACATCGGTTTTATAGCCCCAGATTTGTTTTGACGATAACACATTCATTGACTGTCAGCATACACGTGTCGCCCAGCGGAAGCACTAGGTAGCTGACGGGTGCATGGTGCTTGCATCTTGCTCAGCACTTTTCGGAATCGAAGCTGAAATTCTAGACAACAATATATGAAAAATGGAAATTCTGCAATCATCGATTTGGTGACGCGGTAATTTCCACATTCATATTTTTCGCTTTATCAGTGATCGTCAATTGGCTGCCCCTATCAATCTAAAGTCAGCAATCGACACCGCCAATTTGGCAACTTTGATGTGCTGTTTGTTTCAAAAGTTGCACCTCGTAAATGCAGTGCTGCACAGTGCTTCTTTTGTAACTATGAGACAATGAACTTACGATTTAATAACTGCCTTTACTGAGTACCATTTAACAACAAACAAACAACAAATAAGAACGAGTCGAAAGATCGCAACTAATATATAATATATTGACTATATTTAATATATATTAAATATATATATTGAACTTACTCAATATTTGGTACAAACACAAAAACTCACATGAACCCTCAGTGAACGTTTTAGTGTTTGAATATGGCCAGTCTACCTTTTGCACGCCGAACATTAAATACTCTTGTGGAATAATTGTTGATACATTGTTGATAGGATTTGCCTAATATGTAAAAGTCATAGTAAAACTAATAATGACCTTATTTGATCAAGTTATCTTGATAAACAAGAAAGTTCATCAGACAATGACTTAATTTCTGACCGAGCATTCTTAGGTAACCTGTATGATATACTGAGCCGATGTTGATAAGATTTTACTCAAATGTAAGAAGCATAGTGCAACTAACTAATGCCGAATTTGGTCAAACGTGCTTGAAAAATAAAAAATGTTTTTCAAACAAAAATTTAATTTTAGATTGATCGTTTATATGGTAGCTATATGATTCAGTAAGCCGAATTTGATAAGATCTTAATAAAAAAAAAGTTCTTCATACAAGAAATTAATTTTCGTCCGAGTGCTCATTTGGCAGCTGCATGATAAAATGGTCTGATCCGACCAATTCCGACATATGTACTGCTTGCTAAAGAAAGATGTACCTATGCAGAAATTCATGACGGTAGCTTTTAATCTGAGAGACTAGTATGGATAAAACAGACAGACGGACCCAACCATTCTGACCCGGCTGTTGATACTGATCAAGTGTATATACACATTATAAGATCGTAGATGTTTTCTTCTATGCGTTACAGATTTCATGAACAAATTATAATACCATCCGTACTAAGGGTATAACAGTAATGTTAGTTGCTGATTACTGTCATTGTTGATATTAATTATATATTTATTGAAGCAATTCATATTTTATTTTTGTTTTCTTTTTTGTGCTTTTAAAAAGAAATCATGTTATTTTTAAATAAAAGATAATGCTCATATATATTCTTTTGTGCGTGCTTATAAACAAACGTTAACGTTAATGTTGTGTAACTTGGCGCCAGTTTCGCAATTTTAGAAATTTCTAGCTTACTTGACAAAAAATAACAGTTTTTATACACACGGCTTTTGAGTTTCTTGCCTTGAAGTTTGTTGCGTTTACTTGACGATAATTTGTTGTTAGGCTACCAACAGGAATAATGATAAGAAATATCAAGGTCAAGTGTCGGCCACGGGTCGACATAAAACATTTGTTGAATTGTTTAAGCACGTCGCGAGTTTAAGCGAGCTTAAACAAAACACTTACAAAGTTTTGTGTTGATATGTTTTAGCAATGTGCTAAACAAACATCTGCCAGCGAAATGCTCAAAATTATTAACTTGAGCTGGGGAACGCCGGGTACTCCCGCCAATAATAGCCAGTATTATTTTGTATTTATAGCTCGTACTGCAATCATTAACATTTTGCCCATTTAGGCATTTTGTTATCAAGCATTTAATATTTGTTGCAGGCATTAAACAATGTTTAACAAATGACTTGATAGCCTAAGGCTATCAAACTACATATACGTATACGTGCATGTACATATGTATAAGTATGTACATATGTATATACATACATATAGGTGCACACGTAGTTTCATGTATGCGAATTTGTGGGTAATCTCATGCCTGTTTGGTACGTATTTATATGAATATACCAAAAAATTGCAACGCTGCAGTTATCAATCAAGTTCCGAATTTCCTGACAATGCAAAATATGAATGGCTTAAAATGCTATAAAATCTGGAGCTCGGAACACTAGAAGACAGTTCAACTCACAGCAACATCGAGAGCTCATAGTAGTTTCTGCAGTAGTTGAAGTCCTAGTTGCGCCTGATCTAGAATACCATGAATCCAATAAGAGTGCTTAGCCTTCTGGCCTGCCTGGCTGTAGCTGCCATGGCCAGCCCCACCGCCCGTATGCACGACAATACCGTTAACCAGGCGCTGAAACCATCGCAGTGGCTATCTGTACAAGAGTTGGAGGCCATTCCCTCTGTCGATGAGCTAACCCTGGAGCGATTGGAGAACATGTCCCTAGAGAAGGGCGCTGAGCTGCTACAGCAAGTGTGTATGTATTTAAACATTAACCTATAAACTTATTTGCGGTGCTGATGCCTTTCTTGATCTTTGATAGATCATTTATCGCAAATCAATCACGACGTCGAGCCCAATTTTGTGCCAAACAATATTCAGGTCTATGTGCCCAAGCCCAATGGTGACAAGATCGTAGCTCCAATTAATGAAATGATTCAGCGTTTAAAGCAGAAACAGAACTTCGGACAGGATGAGGTTACCATCATTGTTACTGGACTTCCTCAGACAAGCGAGACTGTGAAAAAGGCAACTCGCAAGCTCGTCCAGGCTTACATGCAACGATACAATCTGCAGCAACAGCAGCAGCAAGCTCAAAAGTACAACAGTGAATCCAATGAGGACAACAAGCGTCAGCGCACTTCCAGCGAGGAGGACTACAGCGAGCAGGCCAAGAACGCCAACACCAACACCGGCGACATTATTGTGAGAACATGCTTTTTGGCACAACAGCGAAACCCCTTTAACATTTACTGAACTAAACAAACGTTAATATTTTCGACAGGTTATTGACTTGGGCTCTACCCTGACCAACTACAAGCGCTATGCTATGTTGGACATTGAGAAGACCGGCGCTAAGATCGGCAAGTGGATTGTGGAGCTGACCAGCCAACTGCAATTGCCCCATGAGACCATTCATATGATCGGTCAAAACGTAGGCGCTCATGTTGCTGGCGCTGCTGCCAACGAGTTCACCCGCTTGACTGGCCATAAGCTCCGCCGTGTCACTGGTCTGGACCCCAGCAACATTGTTGCAAAGAACCGCAACACACTTACCGGTCTGGCCCGTGGCGATGCCGAGTTCGTTGATGCCATCCACACTTCCGTCTACGGCATGGGCACGCCTATTCGCAGCGGTGATGTTGATTTTTACCCCAATGGACTGGGAGCTGGTGTTCCCGGTGCTGAAAACGTTGTGGAGGCCGCCATGCGTGCCACCCGCTACTTTGCCGAGTCTGTTCGCCCTGGCAACGAGCGTAGCTTCCCCGCTGTCCCCGCAAACTCGCTGAAACAGTACAAGCAGAATGATGGATTTGGAAAGCGGGCATACATGGGCATTGACGCTGCCTACGACATCGAGGGAGACTACATCCTGCAGGTTAATCCTAAGAGCCCTTTCGGTCGTAACGCACCTGCTCAGAAGCAGAACAGCTACCATGGTGTGCACAATGCCTGGGAAAGCAACAAGGACTTTTAATAGGCTTTCAGATCCACCACCGTAGACTGAAAACTAGGCGAAACTAAAAAGACAACATTAACCGCTTCTTATATTGAACTTAGATGTTAAGAACCAACAATTGGCGATTTCTCTTAATACATTAAATGCGAAATTAATGGCTTATACAAACAGACTCTTTTTAACGACAAATTGTATAAAAATGTTAACCATTTTCAAAATTCACAATACAATTATGAACGGCGAATCTCTAGTGTTTTTGATGTCTTATTGAGAGTGTATAAATGATGTAACAACTGAGTGGAAATGTGTCAATCAGATGCAATACCTAAGTAGTTTACATTTTCCAGAAAATATGTACCTCATTGAAAAAGCTATCTCCACATCTTTGATGTATTTAATCTCAGTATCAGCATCGAAGTTAATAAAGCCATGTTCGTCTGTTTGTCGGTCTGTTCCGCAAAAACCCCCGCTGGGTGGAAAAAGGGGATACAATTTTATAAGGGCAAAAGTTCAAATTTCATCGATCGGCTTCAAACCGGTTTTGTCTTCAAACTTAATCTCCAATTTTCTTTAAAACATTATTTACTATAACAATAAATGAAGGTATCTTTGTCCCGACGTACCAAATAGTTGTTGGGAAGTCTGCCTTAACACACATATATTTGTGAAAATCGTGTGATTTACATAATAAATGTACGAATGTTTACTAAACAACACAGGAAAAAAATCCATGATAAATTGTGACGTCACAATTTGTATATGGTGTAGACGCAACGTGTGCGTAACCTTTTCTTTTGAATACGGCCTTCTGGCAACAAAAAAATAGTCTACCTAATGCCGCCAGGACTCGGCTCTGCAGCAACATCCTTAAATGGCAAAATAGCAGACGGAGAGACACAGAATATTGCAACAAACTCAGCAGCATTCTTCGTTCTGGTTTCTTGCACATTGTTTTCTATGATCCGAAACCCTGCACACAAACATCCATTATATCAAAATAAAGGACTAAAACAAACCCGCTTTTCATGCGCATTGTTGTTGTTTTTGAACAGATTTGTTGTCGCTTGCTATGGCAAATGTTCTTGAGTTTTTGTGTTTGATTTTGCATTTGCAAACCAAGCCCAAGTACGACGCAAATTCTTTAAAGTGGCAATAAAAGCTCAGAGTGTCTCTTCGTCTCTATATACCTAATAATGAATGGGGGTTATTGTTAGCTTAAAGCTCACCTAAAGCTTTTGTCAGCTGTAAGGGTTGGCAGTCTTTATGAAAAAAGATACAAGTTTGGTTGCATACCTAGTTGCCTTGGCAAGCCTGTCGCTGTTTCTTATTTTGTTAGCCATTTCCAGTTGTTGCTGTGCGCGTTCTATACTTGATTTTATACAATCGACAATGAAGTCTTAATTCCAAGTCCGATTACGAACACAACTTCGACTGCGACCCTATACTCGCTCTCACTTTTGCACTGACACTCCACTGTTGTCGCAGTCTCAACATCCCTGTTTCTGAGTGACAGTCACCTGCTCCCTGGTGCGCAAAAATATTTTAGTATTCTGTAATTGTTTACTGCACACTGCCTACCAACAACAGCAAACTCGTCGAATTGTATCCATGTTAACAACAGCGAGAACAGATACTGTTTCTGCCCAGTAAAAGCAAGCTAAAAAAATAAAGAAAACAGAAACGGTCATTAAGTGTTGTTACACGAAAACAAGAAAAGTTTCTCATTTTCGCGATTGTGTGACTTTTTGTGTGTATTAAGATGAACACAATCAACCAAGAAAAAATAAAAACAAATTAAAGTTTGCAGAATATTTGCGTGTGTGTTCGCGTAAGTGCTATTATGCTGTCATCTATTTGCACACCAACATATCTGTCTGTTGCACGCACACTAACTTTTTAATGGCTGAGTAGATAACGTTGCAATAAATATTTTATTCAGTTAACGTCATAAAACAACAACTGTGGTTAAATCTAAGCACAAAGGCAAGCAGTTCATTCGACGACGACCTAAAGTATGCAGCGAAAAATTGAATTTTCTGTCAAGGACAAAACAAAACTTTCTGCCATGTAGCGACTGGCGTGTATCTTGCCTGTGTGTGTGGGCGTGCGTGTGTATGTTTTTTTTTCAAGGAAAACGGCACCAAAATCTTTAAGACGAAAAAGTATCTCAAACAATCAAGCAGCGAAAATACTGAAGAAAAACAAAACAGAAAAGCAAATCACACGACCAACCACGGAGGCTGCAGCTACACAACAACCCCAGACAAGCAAACCACCCCAATCGACATTTGGCGCCAGTCGGACAACAGTGTGGCCACCATGTGGTTTCATGCTTCAACGATGCTCCAATTATTTCCAATGTTTTTCATTCTACTATGGCTGCCCGTCCAAGTAAGTCGCCAAACAAATTGATTTAGCGCAATGATTTTGTGGCCTTATTTCACGTAACTTTTGCCAAATTATAAAAAAAAAGTATGATTTCTCTAGTCGGGAGTGCCCGACTAGGAGATTCCCTTTAGCTTACTTTTACACACATATACACCGAGCATAAACATTGCACATACTCACGAACGCCGCGTGCTGCCCAGTTTATATTGCGGCTGAGCTGCTTCTTCCATAGCCCCAAGATTAAGAAAATGCTTTCTTGATTTATTTTAAATTGATGGATTGCAACAAACTCGTAGTGCACTGGCACCAGGAGGACCTACACTCACAATTTGAAGCCCACCTGCTATGGTTTCGGACAGACAGACACGGCTACATACTCGACTATTGACGCTGATCAGGAATATAATCACTTTATGTCGTCGAAGATGCTTCCATGTGCCTGTTTGTTATACCATATATTCACAAACCATCGTCCTTTTTAACCCATTTTCAATAGATCCAGGGTATTAAAAGTGTTGCAGTGCAAGTGCGCTGTCGGTAGTGCCCGACTAAAAGATACCGTCTACCTGAATGGTGCCGAGCAACCGTCACACGTTTGTTTGGCTGTATCCCTTGAAATGCGATTTTTCCAGCTTCAAAAATAACAAATAAATATACGCAACCTATATATACAAGAACATATTTACAACATTTTGCGTTTCCAATTCTTAAAGGCTCCGAAATCTTGTGTCAGAATGATATTTTAGATTCTTTTAGTTACATAGATCGACGAATACCTACTGACGAGCAGATGGATAGACATATAAATAAGATATATATACGTAATGAGGTCAGAGATGCTTACTACAGACTGTTACTCATTTCTTGATCGTCCCAAAACATTAAATGTGTCCATATAAGAAACCTAAAATCCAATGGATTCTTATTAAATTTTGAGGGTAATACGAACGGCAACATGCAAAAATTGGTTCATCTAGCTTTCATAGTTTTTGAGTCCATAAGAACATTGGCCAGATTTTCGACGGGGAGAACTATCAAAAATTTGAAATAAACTTGGCTGCGTATGGTATTTGAAAACTTATATTTGGAATTTGGTTGCTCTGGATTCTATAGCGGTCTGCGGTCGACGCGTTCATATCTACGAACAGGCGGAATGTTTAGATGAACTTGTCTTTTGATGCTGATCAAGAATACATACCTATTATATACATACTTAGCTCGTAGCTCGTCTTAGTGCCCAGTTTGCATCGTTAAAAATCGATATAGCTATCCTAACTTTTTACCATTCCTTGTAGTAGTAGTAATTTAGTAATAAGGCACTCGTATAGTATATATATTTAATTTTTTGGATATGTTCCCTTTTTTCAACCAAATTAAAGAAAACCTATTTTAGGATGTATATTCTGTGTATTGATATTTACACAAATTAATGTCCTGATTTGAAAAAGATCCGACAATAAGCACCGAAGTAAATCAAGAATGCATTTTGGGGCTAAGGGAAGAAACTGCGTGCTTATTTTTGCGTATGTATGCGCTTTTTTGTGTATGTTTGAATGGAATGTTCAAGGTATCTCCGAGGCGGGCACTCCCGACTAGAGCACTCTAGCATGTTTTTGTTTTGGTTCCTTTTTTTGCTAATGTCATTAAGCTCTGGGCTATTTTACATTGAAATTGGTCATTCTAGTAACTAATTTTATTTCTTTGAGATCTTATGTTTATTAATAGATATTATTGCTTGTAGCATACAATGGTCACAAACAAGCCTATCTTCGATTGCCCTTTATTTTCTATTGCACTTTGCAGGTCGCGGCTCGCTTCTGCGAGGGCGGGCACATATGTTCGCTGCCACGCGAATGCTGCACCCAGGGTTGTTGTCCACCATATCAAAGTGGACCGCGACAGCTGCCCCCACCGTCGGAGAATGTACTGAACTTATTCTTTGTCAGCCATTGGTTCTTTTGGTAAGTAGAAAGTTCAGAAAATAACATATATATCATCATCATGGTTGCAGTCACAGTCCCCTGTGACGAGAAGCTCTGCAAAGCGTACAAGGTTACTTTGCCGGGGCTGATTCGCATTGTGTGCTATACACCAATATAAACACGAGTATGAGTATTATTATTGGCAGCAAGTTGGCCCCTGACTGAGTTGTGTCAAGTCAAGACAACGCCTTATGCAAGTCAGCCCCGGATCCCCAGACGAGACAGAAAGCGGCAAATGGCATTGCCAACTAATGAGACACTGTCTGTCACTGTTCCTACCGCTATTTCGCTTTTGTTTGTCGGACGCCTGTTCACATAATCAAATGTAGCGTCGCCGAAAAGCCAAGAAACAAGCAGCTCATTTAGTTGGAATTCGATTACGAACGCAGCCGGCCGTTACTATCTTAGCCCTCTTACCGCGCCTTTTCTTGTTCCTAAAGTTGTGCCTGGTCCTGTTCTTTTTATGGGCTTTTTCATACAGACACGCCAGCTGCAAACGGAGCAGTAAGAGAGCTTCCTATAAATTCAGTATACCTCTCAGCAATCGTAATTATACGTTATTTCCCTCTTAGGTGCGTCGTGGTGGCCGTCATTTTAGCCATACTTTGTGCCTACTCGTTGTGGAAAAAGCGACGTACACTCTGCGGTTGGGGCTTTACGGAGCATCACACACAATCCGAGGGAGATTCGGCCGGCTCCTGCTATGCACCGCCGCAATACAGTCGCTGCAATTCGTTTCATCACCCGCCCCCGCCGTACACGGAGGTAAGTTTCAATTTACTTTGAGGGAGTCGATTTTCAATTACCTGGACAGTTTCTTATATGTTTTTTATTTAAAATGAGTTTCACTTACTTACTAGGTGGCATCGAAACCGGATCTGTATCCGCTCGTTTTTACATGCAACAACGAAAATAGCAAGGGAAATGCCAGCTCCAGCTATTTGATGGTGCAATATTTTCGCAACTACATTGTGCGTCCAACGGGCTCACTGAGTGCCGCCAGCACTGTTGACTCGCTTAGCTCCAGCTTCATTTGCAATATCAACGAGGCCAACACATTGGTGCCGCCACCCTACTCTCGAGCGGCCAGCCCTGAGCTAAGCCTACATTACGGTGCAAACAGAGAGCCTCCACCCAACTCGCAATTAGCAGCGCCGCAATACGGCTTGCCACGCTCTGCATCCCAGCTGGTAGAGCCAGAATATCAGCCACGAGCTCACTATGCTACCGTTGCAGTGGACAGAAATATAGGACTTGGCGCTGGCACAGCGCATTATAGTACACGGCTACATAACTCGCACAGCGGACACTTCTCGCCGGGTGAGACGTCCGTTGACTCGCCTGGCCTTATGCATACCGGTGGCGTTGGAGGAGGCTTTCTGCAGTCGCAGAGCGATCAACATTTCCGCTATATGGTAAACAGCCGCAGTAGCCTCAGTGATATATTTGTGAATAGCAATTGTGCGGCGGGCTTAGGAGTGGCTGAACTAGATGTGGGTGGAGCTGAAAGTGGAGGGGCCACACAGACATCTTCATTGTGCAGCCTGGCATTAGCAGCCGGGGGCACACCAGCCATTTACAACAATGCTTGCATACAGTCCAATCCGCTGCACAGTTTAGAAAACTGCTGCCAGTTAGTGTCAGCGGACGAAGCGGCTGCAGCGGTAACGGCACCCACAACAGCAAGCACTGTGTCTGGAGTAAGTAGCCTCTCAAATATTGGCACGCCTGGCTCTCCACCTCAAGCTACTAGCCCAACCGGCGAGGTGCGCGAAATACTCGACCAAATAAGTAAGCTACAAGCGGACGTCAGCTACGAACAGCTGCTGCTTACCGGTGGTGCTAAACCACGATTGCAGCACACGCTGTCCAAGCCAATAACACGACCCGCCACATTGCAACATACCGCATCAACACCAATGTCAACAACGCCGACATCAGCGACTCCCAGTAAAGGAAAAAAGTTCTATGCGTCGAAGCTGCCTAACAAGGCTTTATATATACCTATGGCCGTAATGGCGCCACCGCCTGCCCAACGCTGTGTGCTCAAGAGCCCCATTAGTAGCGTTGTCAGCGGTGCTAACTTTTTTGTTAACCGCGGACGGGTGGCCCGTAAGGGTTGGATATCTCGCTCGGCACCAACAACGCCAGGAAGCGGACTCCCGCCCAACCGATTAGGTGATGACAGTCCGTTATTGAATGAGCACGATGAGGATACCATCGAAGAATCTGGGCACGGGGAGCAACTGGAATAATACACGCCGCCCCCACAAAACGGCAGAGATAGTTCAAACACCTATAGATGTAAGCTTTTAATCAAACTGCAGCTTAGTAGGTCATCCTTAGATCGCCTGAAATCAAAGTGCCAAAAAATACCAAAAAAAAAATTAATATCAAAACACATCTTAGACTTATAGGCTAACTCTGAATATTATTGATTTTCAGAGATCTTCAGAGCACTTGTTAATCTCAACTTCATCTAAGTATAAACCATACAAAAATTTAAAATAAAGTCGCTTTTATTCGTATTTTTACCTATAAAATTCTTGTATTGATCCAACATCCCCCATTCTCTCCACTAAAAAATGTCAAAATTTGTATGTTTTCAAGTTTAAATTCATTGTTTTGGAGTGGCCATGTTATGTTTTTGGAATTACTAACCACATCGTGAAATAACAGACGATGTCGTCATTTCCACATCGCACTCATAATCTTCAAGGCTCGACCCCATTTGACTGAAAACAAGATTAAGCGGGGATTTCAATTGCAATATTCTCACTTGTTTTTTTTTTTTGGTGTTTTCTGGCAAATTGACTAAAATAAAGACACACTTGAAAATGGTTTATGAATCGATTTGTTCGTACGTATTAAGTACTATATATAATTAGGTAGACAATTCCAAAAAAATTATTGGCTAATACGAAGTAAATAAGCAAGCCGACCGTGTTCCTATTGCACAAAAGCATACAGCAACAGCTATAACAACAATGTATCATTGATGAAATTAAGTAATATGTATGTACATATGGATGTATGAATTAAGATTCGTTGTGCAAGTAAAGGACTTCAACAATTTTTGTGTGCTTCAAACTACATTGTAAATGTTTCAAGTTTAAATGTAAATCTAAAGTATAAGGGAATTAAGAAGGAAAAGCAAAAGTGTTCTAGTCGGGTGCGCTCGAGTAGGAGATATTCTGAGCCACGCGCCGAGCTTTGTACCTTTACAAACCTTTCAGCTTTATTCTATACACACTTACACAAAAATACACATATACACACACACATACACACGGCACTTACTGCACTCCATATGTGAAAATGCACTATGATTCATACATGTGTTCTTTAACTAGTAGCAACAGTGTTTATTGTCTTATCTTAATGAAATTCAGGGCATACATACGGCTTCCAAATGTGTGCGAGCTCCAAGGGCTCTAACTTTAAGAAGTAAGAGAGCTTTAGTCGGGAGTGCCCTACTTGGGTAAAAGAGAGCTCCCGTCACAAGCATTCTAGCTTCCTTCTACACACACGCACTCACGCCGTTTACTGTACAGTTTACGCTACGGCTGCGCAGCGGCTGCGCTGCTTCTTTCCATACCACCACACTACAAAATGTGTTTTCGTGATTTACTTCGGAGTTTATTGTCGGATCTTTAGGGCATGAGTATGCCATCTAAATGTGTGTAAATACAAAGACTATACATCTATAAATGCCTATCTCTTCAATGTTGTCGGGAAATGTCTAAAAACTGAAACATTCAAGATCTGCGTATACCATACCAATCGACATTCCAAATCGGGTGGCTAAGCTTAAAAAAACAGGATTTCGATATGGATTCTTATCGATCTCATGGGAACGGAGCAGGTCGGACAGCATGGCCACAAGTTCCTTCAAAATTTGAAATATCGAGTTCTTATGGTTTTTAAGATTGACATGTTCATAAGGACGGACGGACAGGCAGACATAGGAACATGGCTAGATCAATTGGTGTTGACCAAGAATATTTACACTTTATGTGGATGAAGATGCTTCCTTCTGCCTGTTAAACTCGTTCTATGGTTCAAATGTTTCAAATGTCAAACATCTGCTTTTAGTAGTTTCTGAGATCGACGCGTTCATACAGATGGGCAGACTGCGGACATGGACAGATCGACTCATTTCAACGTATAAATAAAAATTATAAAAAATAAAATATATACATAATTCATATCCTAGGATCTATATGAAAAATCATTTGAGACGTGTTTCACATTTTTCGCAAAATCACAGTATCCTCGGTGGAAAGAACAATTTAAATTTTTGTAAATAAGTTTTAAGTTTGGTCCTTCAAACTTATTTTCAAAGCCCTACATAAGAGTTTAATAAATACGTGTGCGATTCGGGAAATTCCACTCGCAACAGCGGTAAATTGGCGGAAAATGGTTGCATTAAAGGTATTTGTTTACCGTCCGATCAGTTTCACAATCATTTTCAAAGCTTTTTGAGAAAAATTATTTTATACGTGCCACGGGCAAGGCCGGGTTATACCCGCTAGTATATATATTATATTTAATTTTTTTTTGGTTTTTATACCCTGAACCCATTGAAAATGCGTAAAAAGGGTATAATGTATTTGTGCAAATGTATGTAACAGGCAGAAGGAAGCATCTCCGACCGCATAAAGTATATATATTCTTGATCAGCATCAACCGCCGAGCCGATCTAGCCATGTCCGTCTGTCTGTCCGGCTGTCCGTCTGTCCGTCTGTCCGTCCTTCCGTCCGTATGTATGAACGCAAGGATCTCAGAACCTATAAGAGCTAGAGACTTGAAATTTTAGCTGTAGGTCCTCTTAGTCCATGCGACTAAGTTGTTTCCGATATTCGATAACTTGCCCTGTTTCCAAGTAATCGATACAAAACGATATAGAAATCCTGTTTTTTAAGCGGTTTTGGTAAATAATAAGAGCTAGAGTCACCAAACTTGACATGTATCTTCTAGAACAGTATATATATATCAAGTATCTATCATTTTATAGCTATCGCCACCTCCCCGCTACCACCAAAAAGCTATAAATCATGTTAGTAAACCAACTTGTATTGCCTACCTAATTAAACCACAATTTAAATGCAATTGTCATTTTGAATACACGAATATTTTATAGTATTATACAAAATTTTTTTGCGCACGTGCAACAGCTAGCGCAAATTCCGAGAATTTCTGTATACATGTACACACACACATTCATGCGCGTCTGCTTTGAATTCTATCAACAGCATTGCAATTACGATTGGCAGCAAGTAATGCGGTCAGTTGCGAGTTCGAACCCTGCCAAGGGAACTTTTTATTATAAATTTATCTTTATTACTACTAAAGAGGGTTCAGGGTATCCCCTGGTCGGGAGCTCCCGACTAACACCTCTTACTTGTTTATACTACGGTGTATGAGACGCCATATTCTTATCTTGTTCCATAGAGTAATGAGTAAACATAAGTCTTATTACTCAATGTTGTTCCATTGAGTAATAAATACTCAATACTTTTTTTTGTCGTATTGACGGCTCCACTGAAGAACTGTGGGATCGATTTTTGTGCCTGCCCTCCCATAAGTGGCCAACCAATTTTAACACTTTATCGAGCACGGATGTAAATAAATATACGAGTTCAAGACTTTGATTTCAAAATATCGTTGGAAACGTTGCGTTCATTTGGATAGGATTCCAGACAAACGGACAGCATGACGGACATTGCACAAAACCAATATACTAGTTTTCCCTTCGCAAACTGAGCTAAGCAATGCATTCGATTAGAACAATAGATAAACTTTGCTTAAAGTCCAATTTATTTTGAATTTAAATTTGAGAACATATATCTTATTAGATGCGGCTCACTTAGTACAATAACATATAAGGTATTTTAGTATAACTATAAAAATAAAAACAAAACAAATTTAATGGTAAATTGCAACAAGTACTACATTACAGTTGGGTGCAACCAACTGCACAATGCTCTAATTACAGTGGAATAAAAAGCTGAAACAAGTATAAAAGAGCCTTTATTTATTTGGGGTTAGTTACTCTATAGCTTCAGTCCTAAGCCGAACACTTAAACTGTGGTAAAAGTATGTCAATATATTTTGGAATTTTAGTCTTTAACTTCACTTGTAAAAAATTATGAAAGCACACTTGGCCATCTTAGGTTAATTTTTTCGGAATATTATATCGTATTTGAACATTATTTTCTAAGTATTTACAGATATAATAACTAACAGCTAACGCGTCTTTAGTGAACATTTTATTAAATAATCTTCTACATAAGGAAATAAAAAAAAAAAACAAAAATAAACAATTATTTTCGGAGGCCGAATAATATTTATCCTTGCACACATATAGCACATATTTAGATGAACGTTATGTTTCTATCTAAAACTCAATTTTCCCCCGATTATTCCTACGGTATATATATGAATGAACAGTTACGCTAACATTTTATCTAGAATTTAATCTGGTCGGTTAGGATATTTCAAAAACCAGAACGTTTTTTTCATATGAACTCAATTTTCGACCAACGTACAGACACTGACTTAATTAAATTGATAGACCGAGGCAAAGTTTAATCCAGAAAGCCCGAGAACCGGCGGTCCAGTTTTCATAGAAACAGACAAAAAGGCGGACAGACAAGCATGGCTATACTAAATACTTTATGGGAACGGAGGTGCCTCCTTCTGGTACATATTATAAGCACAATTTTTAATGTGTACAGGATATATAAAGATATATATATAAAATATATCTAGTAATTGGTTATTGCTTTAGGGCGTGCGCCTCGCCGAGCTGCTGCTGTACATTGTTCAGTTTTAACTTAGACTTGAACTCTTCGTGGACATTTTTGTAATAGGGTCCCAGCTCTTCGCGCACCATTTCATACCAGCGCGCCAGCTTGTTTCGATTTTTGAAGGCATTGAAGCCAATGCACTCTACAAGAAGAAGAAGAAATAAAAGAGAATGAGTGAATGCGAGATTTATTTGTGGCAAGCAGAACTTGTACAAAAAATACTTACTGGGCTGATCAATTTCACAGATTGCACTCAAGTCCGCATAGGATATGTTATCGCCCAACATGAATTTTCGAGAATTCAGGAACAGCTCCTCAAAGTCGTTAAGTGTGTGCTCCAGCTGCTTGCTAGCTACATTAACCTGCACATAGAATGTATGAATTTTGGGGTGTGTTATATATTTTTATGAATATATGTATGTACATATATAGCTGTTATTCCTAAAAGACTGAAACAAAGACAGCCCAAACTTTATGTGATCTAAGACTTACATTAAAACTGCATACTAAGGACGGATTTTGAATTATTCCACCTGTAACTGTTTACCATTCGTACCACTTGTAACAGTTTGACATCCATTCAAACTCATTTTCAAAATAATTCGGGAAAATTCATTTCAAACGTGCTTTTCACTTTTCAGATAAGTAATGAATGTCAAAGTTTGTTTGGACGAACGTTTATTTTGGTCCGATCTATATAATAAACAGCGTACCCAGCGGAAAGCGGAAGCATTCGAGACTGCTTTTAAGCATTCATTTACAACAAGTAAGAGTGCTCCGGCTCCCAATGCTATAGTTCCACAAATGAGTTTTTAACAACTTTAGGTGGAGACGAAGGATCTGGGTCTTCTAGATCTGAGTATAGTTAACGAAAGTCTGTATACCAAATTTGATGCCTTTAGCTCTTATAAGCTCTGAGATATGCTCAAAAAGCAGGATATTGATATCGACTTTTATAGACGTTGAACTGGAGCAATTGCTGTTTTTAAATAAACTTCTACTGTGCTGGCATGGGGGAGTTACGTTCAAATTTTCAGCTTTCTAGCTTTTAAAGGTTCTGGACAGACGAGTATGGTTTGGTCTTTTTCTTCTACCTAGGTGCTTTCTTCAACATGTTACACAACATTCATTGGCCCAGAAGCATTATACCCTTTTACAAAGAAAGAAGATAAACTTACCGCACTATCGGAAGGTCGTATTTTCTGCAGGTAAGGCACCAGCCATTTTTGCTGAAAATAATCGGTACAGGCCACTGCCATATTTGACTGCTGCCAAGCAAGATACTCATCGATGCGGCTGCGACCTAGATAACGGTGCGGATACCAGTGCTCGGGCACTAGCTTCTCGCGAGCTAGATGACGGAAGATGGCCACACTCTCGGACAGCTGATATCCCTGATCGGTGATTGCGGGCAGCTTGCGAAACCGATTGACTTTGTCTCGAAACTCGCCCGTTAAATGCTCGCCTTAAAAAATTAAAACACAACAAACATACTTATTACTTATACTTATTACTTACTTATTTACTCGATAATATATATTTCTGACAGACAGATTGGTATCTATTGAAAACACTGATGAATTCGTTTTGCGTATGCTATAGAAGAATTATGCATTTAAGTCTCTAGCTTGTGTAGTATCAGATACAGACGGAGTGACACCCGAACATGGCTAAATTGATTCAGCTCATCGGCCTGATTATGTATAAAAACTTTATAAGGTCAGACATGCCCTTTCTGCCAGTTATATACATTTGCAATAACGATTATACCTTTTTACACAATATTAATACAATAATACTAAGACTACTTTAAACTAAGAGATTCCCGATACCCCACGTCGAGCTGACGTCACATGCATTTTAACTTCCTATGCCACAAGTATACACACACGCACGCACGCTGCTAGCTACGAAGCTTACGCTGCAGCTGCGCTTCTTCTTCTCTTAGCCACATACTATGGGAAAATCTTTCCCGATATACTTCGGTGCTTATTGTCCGATCTTTATGAAATCTAAATGTGTCTAATTTCCAAAGCCAAAGAATATACCGCTAAAACTGCGTTTTATCAATTTCGGAAGGAACTGGGGGGGAAATCCAAATGTATAATCCTACTGTTTATATTGTACAAGAGTCTATATACCAAATTTAGTGTCTCTTACTCTTATAAGCTTTAAGATATGCTCAAAAACATGATATCGATATCGAAAGAAAAAAACTCGTACTCCGCGGGCATAAGGAGGACCCATGTGTTAGGTTCTGATATCGACTATTGATACTGATCAAGAATATATCTACTTAATTGGGTCGGAGTTGCTTTCTTCTGGCATTTACATGCATTTGGGCGAAACCAATATACCCATTTCTAAAATGGTTCAGGGTATAAAGAAAGCAGTATATAAAAGTATTTAAAAATTACCGAAAAAATACTGTTTCTTTGTACTTTTCACCGCTTTGCCAAATAAAAAGCAAACTGAACCAAGTCAAACATGGCCCAAGCTATGGTTGTAGTTATAGACTTAGTCAAGTTAAATGACGTTGCTTTGTTAGATCGAGCATTAAACTATGCCCTAAATACTTATATACTTATAAGTTAAATAGGCATTTTAAAGAAATGAATATCTCGAGTTTTCCGATCGCTAACATCCGCATTTGTTACATGCAAATTGCAGATAAACTGAGAGCTTACCCGGTGGCTTCCTTGTTGTCGTAGTCCAAGTGCAGCCAAACTTGCTCGCAGTTGGACTTTAAGCTCTATAGTTTCGAAAAACGACGACTTTTATTAAATAGTTTTGCCACTTAAGCTCACTTTTTGCGAGTGATATTTATTTGGCGACTGGCCACTGGCCCCGAAACACTGCATTGAAGATTGTCTACAGAGCAGACAGCCTTATGCAGATGCAGACTCGGTTGTATGTGCACGAGTTGAGTGTCTTAATTTGCACAGTGCTTGGCTCAATTAATGCTTAAAATGTACTAACTCAATGACCTTAGTTACATTTTATCTAAAAATAGAAGCAACAACTGAGTATTCCGTCTTGCTGTCTGCTAGTCAGTCCGTATGCCCGCATGAACGTAATTTTTTCGTCGCTATTCAAGATTGATATTTGAAACTTGATGTATAAATTCGTGTATATTCGCGTAAAAGTGTAACAATTTTTAAGTCACACCTATTAGGGGGCGGAAAAACTAAGCAAATCGATATCTACCAGTTTTAAATCTAAAGTCATGATATTTTAGTCAGACGGACATTACTAAATTGGGCTAACTCGTCGTACGAAAAGAGAATATATATACTTTTTTTAGGTTCGACATGCTTATTTATACATGTAAAATAAATCTTTTTTTTATCCCTTTTAATGGGTTAAGGGTATAAATATAACTTAAAATAAATAGGAAAATCATTTTTAAATAAACAAAATAAAATAAAATAAACAAAATAACACACATTTGCACAAAACCATCATACTCTCTTTACCTATTTTCAATTGGTTCAGGGTAAACAAATTGTTCTTGGAAGATCTTTATAATGATTTGGGCAATTTGCACTTTTCTGCAAATAAATCAAGGTTCTAGTCGGGACCTCCTAACTAGGGGATACCCTGAACCTTCTTATTCCAACACCAAATGCAGATCCCGCTACGCGCTCGTTTGCTTTAGTAGTAATAAAGAAAAATTAAAATAAAAAAAACATTGTTCCCTTGGCAGGGTTCGAACTTGCAACTAACCGCACCACTAGCCGCCGCGTCTACTCAGAGCCACACCAATAATTGAGTTTTAATGAGAAAAAAACCAATTAAAATAACAGCAAAGAAAACAATACAGTCGCAATTGCAATGCTGTTGATAGAATTCAAAGCAGACGCGCATGAATGTGTGTGTGTCATGTATACAGAAATTCTCGGAATTTGCGCTACCTGCTGCTAACACGTGCGCACATAACTTTTGTATTTCTTAACCGATCTTAATGAAATTTTCGACAGTACATCTTCTTGTAGAATAGAATAATTGTGTATTCTCAAAAAGTCAATTGCATATAGATTGTGGCTGAAATTTATAGGCAATACAAGTTTGATAATTAACTTGATTTAAAGCTTTGTGGTGGTACCGGGGAGGTGGCGATAGGAATAGAATGAAAGACACTTGATATATATATACTATTCTAGAAGCTACATGTGAGGTTTGGTGACTCTAGCTCTTATTATTTCCCGAAATTGCTCCAAAAAAAGAATTTCGATATAGATTTTTATCGATTACTTGGAAACGGGGCAAGTTATCGACTATCGGAAACAAACTCGATCTGCGCGGGGACTATGAGGACCTACAGCTAAAATAAAAAAGTCTCTAGGTCTTATAGGCTCTGAGATCCTTGCGTTCATACATACGGACAGACGGACGGACATGGCGAGATTGACTCGGCTATTGATGCTGATCAAGAATATATACAGTTTATGGGGTCGGAGATGCTTCCTTCTGCCTGTTACATACATTTTCACAAATACATAATACCCCTTTTACCCATTTTCAATGGGTTCAGGGTATAAAATTAATATATTCTCATTTTAAAAATACGCAAGATACGAATTTAAAATTTGTATCCAATAACAAAATCTAACATAGCTAGTAATTATTCATCAATAATTTAAAAATCACGTTTCTGACTAGTAGCATTTGCTTCTCGATGCTGGGTACAGGGTATATCCTAGTCCGGCACTACCGAGTAAAGTACTTATACTTGTTTTTCTTTGTTATATTTATCATAAGTGTGTCAATATTTCTGATTCTATTTATAAACGCGTTTCATACTTTTGCCACAAAAGAAAACTTTGCAGCTGGGTGCCAAATGCATTATAAACCGATACATTGGTTACATACATACATATGTACAGCTTGAGGCGAATGTTTGCACTTATACACATATATATATATACACATATATATATATATATATACATGCAAATATATCTCTATATAAAAAACTGTTTGTCCTGACTGACTCACTGACTGACTGACTGACTGATTGGTGATCAACGCACAGCCCAAACCGTAAGAGCTAGGAAGCTGAAATTTTGACTGTAGCTACCTTATGTGATGTAGGTGCACGTTAAGACGGTGTTTCGGGAAATTCCACCCGCAAGTATGGAACCATCCGATCGGCCTCAAACTTATTTTCAAAGATCTTTGTTCAAATTCATTTGAGGGGTGTTTCACACTTTTAGGAACATCCGTTCCTCATTGGTGGAAATGGAGGTCAAAGATTTGGTAGGTGACGTTTCGGGCTCAAATTCATTTCCAGAGATCTATAAGAAAAATCATTTGATACGTGTTTCACACTTTTCGCAGAATTCAAACTTCTTCGGGAGGAATGCGATTTAAAGATTTTCTGGGAGTAGTTTTAAGTTGCGTCCGATTTGCAATAAACTTATTTTCAAAGCTCTACATAAGAACTTAATAAATACGTATTTCAGCGATTTGGGAAATTCCACCCGCAACAGTGGTAAATTGGCGGAAAACGGTTGTATGAAAGTTTTTTGTTTACCATCCGATCGGCCCCAAACTTGTTTTCAAAGATCTTTGTTCAAATTCATTTAAAGGGTGTTTCACACTTTTCGAAAAATCCGTTCCTCCTTGGTGGAAATTGAGGTCAAAGATTTGGTGGGTGACGTTTCGCGCTCAAATTCGTTTCTAAAGATCTATAAGAAAAATCATTTGAGACGTGTTTCACACTTTTCGCAGAATCCAAACTTTTTCGGGTGGAATGCGACTCAAAGATTTTTTGTGCGAAGTTTTAAATTGTGTCCGATTTGCTTCAAACTTATTTTCAAAGCTCTACATATGAATGTAATGAATACGTGTTTCAGCGATTTGGGAAATTCCACTCGCAACAGTAGTAAATTGGCGGAAAACGTTTATATGAAAGTTATTTGTTTACCGTCCGATCAGTTTCAAAATCATTTCAAATTTGATTGAGAACATTGATTTTATAACATACGTGCCCAGGCAAGGCCGGGTTATACCCGCTAGTATATATATATTATGTACAGGTGTACATATGTGTATAAGTGCAAACATTCGCCTCAAGCTGTACATATGTATGTATGTAACCAATGTATCGGTTTATAATGCATTTCGCATATATATATGTGTGTATGTATATATATATATATATGTGTATGTATAAATTTAATCATGGCGGTGCAAACAATTAATTTGAACTGAAATATACAAATTATATATGCATATGTATTTATGTGAGCACACCAAGCGTAATACATTTTTGGCGACCTACATACATATGTACATACATATGTATAAATAATTATTTCCAAAAGCCACAATTATGGTTGACTAGTGAGCATAGATACATAATAAATTAATGAAATGTTTATAGGAAGTGCACTTTGCATGGAAGGAGATATCTCCGACCCCATTTAAGGTATATACTACTATATGCATTCAGTATCAACAGTCGAGTTGATATAGCCTTGAAAGTTCTATATGTTTTCAACATAAAAGTTCAACAAAATCTTATCAATAACGAATAACTATATCATTTAGCTCACATAGGAACAATCTGCTAAAAATTGAACTGTATTTTATACATATATGTGACAAACAATTTTCTAACTTCATTGTGCCGCCTAAGCAAAGTCGCATCATCAGCGTACTACTATATGTTATAACCTAAATATGAAAGATTGATTAAGTACTTAATTTTTTTTATCGGTGATGTACAAATATACCGCAATCTATTATGTGAGTACATAGGTATATAATCTTCAGCACTCAGAAGATAGCTGTTGTTGAACTTTGCACTTTAAAATAACGTTTCAAAGTTTTTAATAAGTTTTTAATATGAGAATAATGGAGATTTACTTCTTACAACAAGTATGATAATGGCTAACAAAACAAATTTTATAAATTATGTTTCTATTTCAATTATAATAGATTATCATGGATTAGCTTACAATATTTTTTAAAAGTGACATTAAACGTTCATACCTGTCTATTACATACGTACATATTTATGTATGTAGACAAGTTTTGCACTTTCCCTTTCGAGAACTTGATAAGAGGAATTTTAAACAAGTGGAAAATTTTTGAAAATACTCATAAAATATCAGAGACTCACTAAGAAAGAGACAGAAATAGACTTTAGTGCATATACTTACATACATATGCATATATTGTATTTGAATTGATTATTAAGTAGTAAACTGTATGTGTGTGAGTGTGCATTTGTGTGCGAGTGTGTCTATGGGCTGGTAAAGGTTGATGACGAGCATTTGGGCACGTACTCAACTTACCTTTGACAATAGAAATAGGTATCGCTTCGAATGGAATTTTTGATGCCTCCAAAAGTATGTAGAGAGATCGGCTAGACTGATTCAAAAAATCGAAATAGAACTTTACCGGTTGCGTCATTTTGTTTTTGTTGTCCTATAATTATGACTTAATTATTTAATTCTGTGATTTTTTTCTGCAGCGATAAAAGCTGGCGCAACACAAAACGCGAACGAAAGACAGAAGTTCGAATTCCAAACACGAATAAGCAAAATAACAAAATTCGAAACACAAACAAACGCCTGTAATTAGTTTTAGTAGCAGGACTAGCAGCTGACTGGTCAATCGCTCTAACTGCTGTTTTTAGACTGAGCTCTAAGCGTCGGCGAATGCGACATTTTAAACGCGACGCAAAGGCATTGACAGTAAAGAAGCCAACGTCGCTGCCGTCTATGAGCTGCGCCTGCGCTGCCATCGGCAACATTCGAAATATTCATATTTGTGTGAGTGTTTTTATATAGACAAGAGAGGCGGCGGAGCTATTGAATGAACACATGCGTGGCGCAGCTGCTGACGCGCAGTCGTTTGTGTGTAGCTGCAAAGCATGAAAAGAAGAGAAGCCGGTCGTCAATTGCTTGCTTTGCCTGCTTTTCATACCCTGTACCCAAATTAGTAAGAGGAGTATACTCGATTGAGCGGCGGTAAAAAATTTCCGTCTCATTAATTAATACTGATTTTAGACCAGATTTCTGGAAATACTTCTTAAAGCTAAGAACACTAAATTTGTTATACAGACACAAATACAGCACAGTTAACGTTTATCTTACTTTTTTGATAACTGTGTCTATTTATTTTGGATGTATCAGAAGTTATGATCAAGTGAATATTTTAAAAATCGAAGAAACACAGCTGCTGTTTAAATGTGCGGCGTGCGCTTCGATTTTGTATGCGCATATGTATGTATACATATGTACATAAGTGAGAACATGTGTATGTATGGTAACCCGTAGCTGGGGGAAGGGTATCTCTCCTAGTGGGACATTATCGACTAGAGCACTTTTACTTGTTTGTTTTCGTTTGGCATTTTGTTGCGTTGTTTTTGTTATACTAATTATTATTGTTTTTGTTTCAACAGTGGACCTTTCGTTTTGTTGTTGGTTGGTAGAAGTGCCGATGTTCTGCGCATTTAATATACGGCGTTAAGCACCCTACACCGATTAAGGGACAGTTCGATTAGCTGTTAAAAAGATGTGATCCGTAATAAATACCGCTATGTGTACATATTTACTTATGTACATACATACATATGTGCATGTATGCACATATATCTATTTTAAAAATGTCGATGTACACTTACTTACTGTTTTTGTAGTTGATTTTAACTAATTAAATTTCAATTATTAATATTTTTTATAAGCACTTATACATTTATACATAGGCATCACCGTATATACATACATACATATGTACATATGTATATATGTACTTAAATTATAGCTGGTGACATCAGAAATCTTTGTATACCCTGGCAGATTGTGAAATAACTCTGTCAGGAAATATGTAACGCATAGAAGAAGATATATCCGATCTCATAAAGTATATACATATGTATGTATGTACATACATATATTCATGATCAGTATCAGCAGCCCAGCTAATGTAGCCATGTCCGCCTTTCCTCCTGTCTTGTTCTATTCAAACTAGTGTCTCAGTTTTAAAGCTACCGCCTCGAAACTCTGCATGAGTCCGTCTTGCTGTTGCAGGTAGTACATATGTATGTATGTATGTCGGAGCCGGCCAATAGGACCACAATATAACATAAATCATCCATAGAAACGGATGGTTAAAAGGTAGGTTAATATATAAAATCTTTTTGTTTATCGTGATATTTTTACCTAATTCGGACCAAGGCCGTAAATTATTAGTTTTATTATGCTCCTTACATATATGTAAAATTTTATTAACATCAGACCACTATATCATATAGTTTCCATATAAACGACCGGTCAAAAATTGTGTTCAAAAACAAATTTTCTGTTTTTAAAATATCTGTTTCACAATCGATATTTATTAGTTAAACCATTCTCCTTACGTTTATGCAAAATACTAACAACTTTACACCGTTTTATTATATGGCTGCCAAAGGAACGATCGAAAAATAAGTATTTATATGATTAACTTTCTTGTTTATCAAAATATCTACCAAACTGGGAATTTATTAGTTTCACTTTGGTCTTTGCATATGGACTAAGTCCTATTAATATCGCACTTCTATATTATATAGCTACATAAGCAAAATCGGTAAAAAGGGAGTTTTTGTTTGAAAAAATAGTCTATTTTCAAGGTATTTTCTCACATATCTTCAAAGCCGTAACCAAATGTCTACAAACGTATAAAATCTTCAGGAAACCGTAGCAGTCCCTTTTTCATGTTTTGTTAAATATCACAGTGAATATCACATTTTTGTTCTGTGTGAGTTTAGCTTCAAATATTTTTACATTCGGGTAGGTATATACTAAGTTTAATGAAATGTTCATCCGTTATCAATGCTAGAACAGATTTAAAATTAGAATCATACAATTGTGCAGAAAAGACTAAAATCCACAATGCCAAAACTAGCAAATAAATTTGTTGATCAAGTTAATCAATTTGTTTCAAGCAATCCAAACCTGTCATGAACTCGGTGAATATACATATGTAGATCCCCAACCCCGATTTTATACAATATTTCGTAGATTTAAATAGAAAATAGAAGTTGTACAGAACGTGTTGAGTATCTATAAGACTTAGAGCTAAGTATCGTTCAATAGGCCTAAAAATGTCGCCTTGATTTGTAAAGTATACATGTCATATAATTTCTTATTTAAAAAATAATATATTTGGTACCCTGTATCATGCATAACCAAAATCAAAAAATGTGTATATAGCTTTTGTTAGCCGATAACATTTAAGTCAAATGGAAAATTAAATCGATCGTAATCTTAATTTTTAATCGAAAACGATCATCGGCTCATCATTAAGTTACCGATAGTTCACTCAATTAGACGATTTTTATTTCTTTATTATTAATGTTTATAGGCAATATGTCTTCCTTTCGGCACCGAAAGTCTATATGCCCTGCAAAACTAAATAGATGTAGCCATTGTGACCTGCCTCATCAGTTTGAATACCTCACCTCGTTCCATGTAAAATTTAAAACGAGAAAAAAGTGCTATCTTCGGCACACCGAGGATTTAATACCCTTGCAGACCCAACCTTTTCAAAATGCTCATAGTGCTTTGCCCGTATCTAAGAAGCACAGGGAAAATAGTTAATGCCGAGTATGGTTAAGATATCTTGAAAAACAAAACAGGTTTCCATACAACAACTTAATTTTCGACCGATCGTTCCTATGGCAGCTATATGATATAGTAGCCCGATGTGAATAAGATTTTGCATAAGTGAAGGGAGCATAGTAAAACTAATAAATGCCGAGTTTGGTCAAGATATCTTGAAAAACCAAAAAAATTCCATATAACAGCATAATTTTCGACCGATCGTTCCTATGGCAGCTATATGATATAGCTGTCCGATCTTAATAGGATTTTACATATATATGGGGAGCGTAGTAAAACTAATAAATACCGAGTTTGGTCAAGATATCTTGAAACACATAAGAATTGTCCATACAAAAACTTAATTTTCGACCGATCTTTCCTATGACAGCTATATGATATAGTTGTCCGATCTTAATAGGATTTTGCATATATATGGGGAGCGTAGTAAAACTAATAAATACCGAGTTTGGTCAAGATATCTTGAAAAACATAGTAATTTTCCATACAAAAACTTAATTTTCGACCGATCGTTCCTATGGCAGCTATATGATATAGTTGCCCGATCTTAATAGGATTTTGCATATATATGGGGAGTTTAGTAAAACTAATAAGTACCGAGTTTGGTCAAGATATCTTGAAAAACACAAAAATTTTCCATACAAAAACTTAATTTTCGACCGATCGTTCCTATGGCAGCTATATGATATAGTTGTCCGATCTTAATAGGATTTTGCATATATATGGGGAGCGTAGTAAAACTAATAAATACCAAGTTTAGTCAAGATAACTTTATAAACAAAAATGTTTTTCATACAAGAACCTACTTTTCGACCGATCGTTCCTATGGCAGCTATATGATATAGTGGTCCGATCCAGCTGGTTTTAACATATGAGCTGCGTGCAACAGGAAATTCTGCAAAGTTTCATAAAGATAGCTTTAAAACTGAGAGACTAGTTCGCATAGAAACAGACAGACGGACAGACGGACATGGCTATATCAACTCGGCGGTTGATACTGATCAAGAATATATATACTTTATGGGGTCGGAGATGTCTCCTTCTATGCGTTACACATTTCACGACAAAATTATAATACCCTCTGCAAGGGTATAAAAATAAACTGATTTATATATGTGTGATGTTGCGTTTTGGGATGAACATACTTATATAGGCCTTATTTAAGCCCCTAAAATTTAATGAACAATATCGAAGATATTCAAAACTTTAAATTCCGCAATGGGTCTAAGAAATCAACTGCGACTGATCTAGTCGAGAAAATACCCCTTTTACATTGATAACGTTAATTGATGTTTCGCATAAATAGCAACTTAGTTTTAATTTAAACATGTATTTACGTATTGATGTTCAGTATATCATGAATACCATACACACATACATACACAGTAGCACTAGGCAGAACCAGCTCGGGCCTAAGCCAAAAAATATAAACACACATTTTTTACTATCTACTGATTTACTACCCATTTAATGAGTAAAGCTGTACAATTAACATTATTAAAAAAAATGTTTGAGTTCTCTGGTCGGCAGTGCCCGACTAGAGGATACCCCGAACCTTCTTCTACTAAAAGCAAACGTAATACTAGGGTTAATAAAAATAAATGCGAAAAAAAAATTTGTTGTCTCCTCCGGTGTAGAATTTTGAAAATAAGTTTTAAGCCGATTAAATTTTAAAACTTTATCAAAAAAAAACAATGATCGGCATTTTCCACCGGGAAAGCTAAAATTCTGCAAAAAGTGTGAAACAGGACTTTGAAAATAAGTTTTAAGCCGATTCGATTCTAAAACTTTATCAAAAAAAAACAATGATCGGCATTTTCCACCGGGGAAGCTGAAATTCTGCAAAAAGTGTGAATCAGGACTCAAACGAATTTTCTTACATAATTTTAGAAGTGAACTTGAACCCGAATATAATACCAAACCTTTGACCCCCATATCCACTATAGAAAGATTGATGTACAAT